TAGTGCTTCGCTTTTTGGAGCAGCAGCGAATGAGACGGCTGAGATGGAAGCCACCGACACACGCAGATGGAGTATTGTTTACAGTATGCCAATCGACATCGGACACGACAAACGACAAAAGCGACGGCGGCGACGTCAGCCGCAGCACGGTTGCATTGGATCCCGTCACCGTCGAGTCATCTTTGGTGGAGTTCAAATCCTCTTCGGTTTTCAGTATTATATGATTGTGTGCACCAATTAACTTAATGATCTGATTAAACTTGGGATTGAGGAGTTGATTGCTTTCATTTTTGGTTATTGTAGTGACGATTCGTTTCTACAACTTATATTTCTAAATATCAATATATATATATATATATATATATATATTAGAGTTCATAGATTATGTTGATTATGTAAGAGGTGATCGAAGGAATTAATTTGGAATTGTTTTTTGAAATGAGTACCGATATCATGGATTTAATCAAATTATATTCTAAATATTATTATGATCTTCTCATACAGGTGAGCCTACATATTTTCGCAAACTTATCTTTTAATTAAATCGTACCATATTTTTTTCACACATAAAACAAGTATGATTAAAATTCGAAAGATAATTATATAATTTGATTACCTATATTGAAGTCATTTAAAATTAGATTACGTGTATATCTATATTTACAAGGCTATTAAGAATTTTTACAACCTAAATTCAATTCAATAATAACGTAAAAATCCTTAACATAATGTTAGTGCAGACTCGTTTTATGAATGGAAATCCACGATATTTAGATTAATACACGCGTTTAACTCTTCCTTTCAATAGACGATATCGTAAGGTTGTAGGGGGAGGGCCGGGAGGTGACTGGACCGCTCCGGTTCACGTGTACACCATAACATGGGACCCAGCGCTACAATAGAAAGGAAAGGGGTGTGGGACCGTCGCCCCGGGGTTGGTGCCGATTTTATGATCTATGATAAGGGGATGGCGCGTTGGAGCCGTCTGATCTTCCATCAGAAGAGTGGAAACTGGGGATGCGTGGCACAGCGGCCATACTGCTGCCACCGAACAGAAGAGCGTCTGTTCCGGCTTATGCTTGGCAGTGGTAAGCTGCTGAAGGACACGAGTTGTGATCACCTCAAAAGTAGTCTGAGAAATGAAAATGAGAGAGAGAGAGAGAGAGAGAGAGAGAGAGAGAGAGAGAAAAGGGATGAACCTGAGCGTATCAATTCACAGAGAGAGAGAGAGAGAGAAGGGATGAACCTGAGCCTATCAATTCTGTGGGCAGGGTATGGGTTATTAGCCTTCCATAGACGAACAACCTTGGGAGAGATGGCACAGTGACACCGTCAGGGGGCGCAGATTGTGCCAAGTGGCAGTCATGAGCTGATGAAGACATGAGTTTTGATCTCGGTTCGAAGTACCTAACAGGGGAATGAAATGAAAAGCGATGTGATGAATCCAAGGACCACCATTTCTGTGGGCTGCTCGGTTTGGCCATCTAGCGGTCCCAAAACTTGTTTGCAGTGGGGCTCTTCTGATGCGTTGTGTATGATGGTCCCTTTTGGTAGCCGGTTGTGAGATTCTACACATGGAAACACTATTTTTTTTTCTTTTTCTTTTAGGAATCGAGTTTGAAGGTTTGTTCGAGGAATTTTTGTCGAAAGGTGATTGCATATTGCCAACCAGGGCTGGCAGATACATAAATAAACTAATAATCATGTAAAGCTTTAGGCCGACAAAGTTGAAATATTAAGACTTAAAAGAACCAACTAAACATAGTTCGAAGATCATGAGCTAATTACATAATATTTATGTAGTTAATTATCTTTAATATTTGATCCCTATGTTTTAAAAAATTATATTAATATTTGTATAATTATGAAAGTAAATTCTAATTTTATTTATCGATTTTATCAATATAAGTATAAAAATAAGAAGTAAAAAAAATAATTTTAATATTTCAATTGATAATGATAGATTGCCAATAGTAACGATTGATGACACCATTGGAGGTTACGAATAGTTATTATGGTTGAAAAGAGTGATGGTAAAAGGTGAGAGTCGCTCTATATATGTATTAATACCGATGCAATTGTCGAGTGATCCTTTCGATACTCAACAATTACATTTGAATCGATGCAAATAAAAAATAACCCTCACTTCTCGTCATCATTTTTTTTATCTACAACAGTTACCTATAGCCCCCAACAGCGTTATCACCGACTTTGTCCATCATCATCAATTGGAATATTAAAATTATTTTTTTATAATTTATATTTTTATTAGTAAAATCGATATCATTAGAGTAAATAAATCTAAATATTTCACTTTAATAATGAAAGTCAATATAATTTTTTAAAAATTAAAAATATTAAAATATAAAAAAAAACAAAATTAATTATAAAAAAAATAATTAGTCCAAATACTACGCATTAAAAAGGTTCACGCAGTGGCACCTAACTTTTTGTTTTGTCCCCGACGAGCATTCCTAAATGCATCTGGTGTCGAACTCCAAAATGTTCTTCACGGGCAGCCGCTCCGGGCTACATGAGGTCGGTGATTTCCTCGACCAGACAAACTTTTGCACAGCCTCGATCTCTGAACCATGTCCATTCACCGTCAGGGCGACGTCCAGTCGCTACAGCATCCATGGATGATGGGACGAAAAGATTGTGTGGATTTCTGATGCAACCGCAGAAACAAGAGGAATCGTTGCAGAAGCACGCTGTTCTCTGCATAAAATAACATATCACGATGCTGCCTCCAATTACATGTCGGATTCCCATGGCTCACATGCTTACTTCCAAGGTGCATGCAACATGAGCTGTTCCATATGAACTCTTACTACCTTCTATATAAGCCATTCTAGATTAGTCTCTTTCTTCTCACCGATCTCATCTCTCTACTATCACCGTGTCGCAATGGCGTCCTCCAGAAGAATGCTTCCTCCACTGCTTTTGCTCTTGTTCCTTCTCATGACCTCTGGTTCTTTCTCCTCCCAGGACTTCAAACTTACATACTGCACGAATATCCCGGACAACATTTAATGTATGTCTTGACCTTTGTTTTGTGATGTAGAGATGGGGACGACGGTGGTGAATGGAAGAACATGCGAGTCTCAGAGCCACAAGTTCGTCGGCCCGTGCGTGAGGAAAGCCAACTGCGGGAACGTGTGCCAAACGGAGGGCTTCCACGGAGGGGTTTGCCGTGGGTCGCTGATCCACCGCAAATGCTACTGCACCAAGAACTGTTGAACGCCTCAACCGGTCCATCAATACCACTGTAATGGTGTTGGAAGCGGCGTTGGAGACTGTCATCCTGAAACTGCTAAGAATAACATCGATGATCGATGAGTAGAATGTCGTATTATAACTTCGTGCTTTGATTGCATCTTTAACGTAGTTTTCCTCCGTATCATGCAGCTTCTGTTCTGTGAGATTGTGTGGTTCAATTCATGAATAAATGTCCTCTTAAACGTTGCTGATATGATACCCATTCCTACCATTCCTAGTATCTTTTCACTGGAAGATCGTAGAGATCACAATTAAACATACCAAGCAAAACATTATTCATTAGCAGTTGCAAGTGAGTAGAACTGACGGCTTCTGAATGCCTAATAGATCGAGAACTCCTTCGCTCACAAACCTACCGAGCGACCATACACAGATAGGATTACAGAGCTCCATTCAGTAACCTACCGACATCAAACACCGATGTGACCTTTACTCGACGTAAGGGAGAAGACCGGATCAACCCAACATCGAACACCGATCGGATCATCGAAAAGCATATCATCACCATCCATGTATAATTCATTCAAAAACTCCATATTGTCCTTTCCCCATTTCTGAATGATAAATAAATATCATCCTTAATCATGCGATATCTAATGGTATCTTTCTCATACATAATAACACTGACAAATGTAATAATTGTTGGGACCAATTAATTTTTGCGGACAAGACGTCGGAACAAGGTAAGACGAGCTTGACGTGGGAACAAGGTAAGACGAGTTTTTAAAACTTGGGCGAGTAATATCGTCCTCGTCATAATCTTGATGAGTTCTCTAGAGTTCTATTCCTAGATCAGAGTTCATAAGACTTGATAGGATTTGATGGAGTACACAGTAGGTTCAATTAGAAATTATAATCCATGGTTCTTTACGTTAATATTTTCCACCGGATCAAATCATTGACCCTAATATTCTATACTATAAATAAAAGGTGGCCAAGACATTGTCCCTTTCACGCAGGCTGATACCACACTTTCGCCTGTTAGCTGAGATGTACTAATCACTGCCTTTAAGTCTATAATAAAATAGACTTTAAATCAGAAATTTATGCAGTCGTTTTCAATCGTATAGTTCCCAATATAAAATATATGTTCTTAAAGTTGTGTCATCTATGGATTTGATGACCATAAACTGACATGCAGGACTAGTCATATGTTTATGTTAAAGCCTATGTTTATGTCATATGGCAAGCCATTAATTAATCACAATTATTTAAAGTATTAGTTCAGCAGTAGACGTAGTAGTTAGTTGAGTTATAATTGCTTAGCTGACTAATTAGCTGCTAATCTCTGATTTTTTGTCAAAAATTAATGAAGAGTTTACCTATGTTCTGAGGTCCCCACATCTTTTATTTTAGAAATATATGTCATTTCCAAACTCTTTTTTTCCTGACAACATTTATCCAAAACATTTAGACTCTTCACAAAAGACATGATTTTAAATTAAATATAGTATTAAAATATAAATTATTTAGAATAATTTAAACTTCTTACATCATGATGGGGCCTTTAGAAGCTGTTCATGTTGTTTTTGACAACGTAGATGTAATGCACAAGTTTCTGGGTGTCACAGGAATAAAATATACATGACTAATGAGGGGACGAATACAAAAGCATTAATTGCGGGGGAGATACGCTGGCAAATCATAGGCGAGATTGAGATGAGACCTGAAGATCCCAACATGTGATTTGAGAGTCCCAATCTGATAGACTTCATCCCGAACCCAACAAAAATACGTCTGCAACGGGTACCTCCTCACAGTACAAACATGTATATAACTGTATTTTGTTTTTCTGTGATAAACAGTTCACTGCATTAGTTCTTCGGTCATTGTACGGTAGAATTTGCTTTACAGATCATTGGTGCCGAGTACCGTCCTTTTCTTTTAATTGTCCGCATAGTCACAAATGATTTTTGCAACCAAAAATTGAGCAAAAGATCTGCGTGAGTACTCTGTTTTTGGTAGCTTAGCAACGAAGAGAAAAGGATCAGGTAAGAGAAGCAAAAGCAGTCCCAGTTGTGTTCCTTTGTTTTCTTCTCCTGGTCAGCTTTCAGAAATTTTGGGTGGCTTTTCCTTTTTGCTTTGCTCCTTTTTCCCGTTTCTTTCTTGCACTCGCTTGTAGCTTCTGGACTGAATTCTGCAGGTTTCTGTTTGCTTCTTAATCTTCTGTACTCTGGAATTGATCTTCTTGTTGGGATTCATGTTGCTTTTCTTGGATTAGTGGGTTTGGAGATGGATTGCTTTGATGAGATGCCTTTGTTTGAAGGATGGATGATTTGTTCTGCTAGACAAAGTATGTGCAAGTTTCCATCATTTGTTCTTGCTTTCTCCTTTTCCACACAGCTGATTCTTGGACTTGATGTCCAAAGATTATTTCCTGTTTTCTGCATTAGGATATTTCTCATCATTAATTAGGCCCTGATGGTTTTAGGATATTGCAGACCGAGGATAATAATGACATTTTGCAAGTAGAAAGACAAAAACTGTCAATTTAATTTTTCTTACATTGTTCTATTCATGCAGCCATGCTCTTCATGTTCTTGGTTTTGTTGGGTTACAGTTGAAGTGTGATGCAGCCAAACATGACAAGAAAAGCAGCATAAATCTGCGATCATCAATTTTTCTTTCTTGGATAGAGACTAAAAGAAAAAAAAAGAATTTATTCTTCTTTTATGGCCTTGTGCAGCAAGTACAAGTCAAGCATTTTCTTTTACACTGTTATCTTTGCCTGCAACTTTCTGTCTACATCTATGTGTTCACACCACCAAAGAAAAAGGAAATAAGAAGGAAATCTATGCATTTTGATGCTATTGTGATATGCTGTTTCTTTGATTTAAAGGGTGAAGCTTCCCATTGTATGTTCAAGTTGTCTTTTCAGAGACAGTAGGAGCCGCGGATCACAAATCATGAGCCTTCCACCTCTTCCACTAGCCCTTGACCTGTTCTTCCTTCGTATATCTTCTCTTGATTTATCATTTGTTATCTATCTTGGTACATTTCTTCGTCTCAAAGCCTAAAGCCACTCCTCAGAGTGGAGGCTAACATGCAGCTGCTTGTTTCCTTCATTTTCTTCTCATGTGTTGACTGACGTACACTCTGTAAGATCATTTATGGAGCTTTAGATGACATTCTGCTTCCACCGTATAAATTCTAACAACAAAGAATAAACTATAGCACGATGTTATTCATCTCTTCTTTTCTTTTAGATTTGCAATACTAACTAGCTGTTCCTTTGCCTACTCTCAGGTGAAGAGTAAGCAACACCCATGGAGGGCATGGAATGGAAGGGATGCGTGTATAGGATTAGGAAGTGCGTCTTTGATCTCCTGTCAATGGAAGAAGATCTGATCGATGACGACGAAGACACATGGGAGCTCATGGGAAGCAGTCTTCGCCTCAAGTCCACCTTCTTGTACTGTGACCTCAACCAGGTAATCTCAAGAGCAAAAGACGAGCGCAAGAAGTTCCTCACTGACCTCGCCAATAAACTCTTCTGCTACATGGAGCAAGTAATTCTGCTTCTTGCCATGTTAATTCCCTTGATTTATCTTGCAATTAGACCTTCGATCTCCCTGTTGATATCTGCTGAGCCAACGGAGATTCAAGTGCTACTTGTTCCTAATCATTTGTGGTAAATGGCAGCTGGATCATGCTGTTAAGAGCCGAAGCATCTCCCTGACACAGATTCGCTACAACGACACAGCTCATGTGTTACAGGAAGTCATGGCTGCTCTCGTGCCTTCTCTCTGAAAACTAAAGTTGACTTTTTGAGCATGCTAGCATCTTGCAGGGAAGTAGGAAGCAAGAGGAGCAGCTTTATGTTCAAAACAAATATCCTCTCTCTTTTTGTTTTGATTTTGGAGCTCTTTTCCCTGTTTACATCTGCATTGACAGCATGTTGGTACTGTAAATATCCTGTATGGATCCAAAATGAAAGAAGAGAAGAAATAGATGCCTGTTTTGGTTCTTCATTTCATGAATGAATTATGCTTTGATCATTCAACTACAGGCAGTTAGTTTGCGACAAATAGCAAATTCTGCTACGAGCCTCGATAGTAAGAGGATGTGATACCCATCTGAAACAAAGTTTTCTCTGACTGTTCATGTTTTTACTGCCAAATGTTACATTCAACGTTATTATCATTCAGATCACGTGTTGCATCTGGTAAATAGTATTAGCAGCATCTGTGACGAGGTTTCTGCAGACCAATGCCTCTGCAATTATGCTACCGGAAGCCTGCATCTATTCCGGCATCAAATGCTACCTAAACCATGATGCAGAATCTGAGTGCCTCCAGTAATAGACCATACAAAAGCAGCACTAGCAGCAGTTTGTCTTGGTTAAGGGAGCATCTCGAGTTTGAGCTTCACCCAGACATGAAACAGATTCTGTGGTATATATGCACTCCAGACACCATGCAGAACACAAATAGTCAGAGAGTAAAGCTTGTGAAAACCCCATCAACTTCGATGAAATCTATTGTCGTAAAAAATCTTCTAGCACATTTTTCTAAAACTAACCAAAAGAAGTGCTCCAAATGCATCCGAGAAAAGGATAACAGGTAGAAAAAGCAAGATGGAACCAGTAATATAAGTATTATTAGTTTTCTCTGCAAACTACAATATCGATGTTTCAGAAACTGCAACCTTGATCCTCCAATGCAATAATCATCAGATTGTTTCCAGCTAAACTGCGAACAAAATTCCACCTTGATCTCGACAATGTTTAAAATGTCAATGTTTTGATGATCGACAAGCTCTATTATCTGGTAATAGAAGTCTATTCTTCATTCTTAAAATAATTTAATTAAGTACAACAATTGTTCTGTCGGGACTACATTTCTTATCACCCTAAAATGCTTATTAGGAAAAAGAATATGATAAAAAGCAAAAGAATCACTAAACCTGAAAGCGCCTAATCATGCTATTGTGTAAATACTTCCTATCTGACGAAGCATATACATGGACACCCTGCAGTAGAAGCTCAATCTGCAGTGACAGGACGTACTGGACACCCAGGCATCAGAAACTTGAACTACCTCGTGCTTGATGCACCTTAAGATCCAGACTGAGATCCTCCTTGAAGGATGCAGCAGTCAAGCGAGGAAGCTTTAACCAACCACCTTCATTCATTTCAGGAAGAGAACATGCACTCAGCATGTTACCAGAATCTTGGCTCTTCCTTTAAATGACTGCTTCCAGGCACATACACCTTGTAAAATAGCAGAATTACAAAGACTATGGTCAGAAGCAAAAAAAAACTCATACATTATATGAGTTAAAATGGTTTTTGATGGAATTTTATCAAAAACTGGAAGATTACCTGACTGATAAGGGGAAAAATGGACTGGAAAAGATTGTCATCCATTGACACTGGCAATGAAGGCATCTGACTCATAATACCTGGCATGCTACTGATGCTGTTCAAAGAAGAAAACCTTCCTTACAAAATCATATAAGAAACCAACTTGTAGAAGATTTATTATATCAGATAAAAGTTGCTGATCAAAAGGAAAAAAAAAAAACTTAAAACAGAAAATAAAGGCATACCTATTTAAAATGGTTCTTATGTTATCTCTTGTACGAAAGAATAGGTTGACATTATCATGTACCTGCAACAAATCAAAGAGGCCTGTCTCAAATGCATACCATTTAGAGGGCAAACATGTGAACTGAAAAGTAAGATGCCTGTCTTGAAAAGTACTAAAAATATCTTCCAAGTAATTTAGTGAAAAAAATCAAATGAATATTATAATAATAATGAGATATCCATAATGGTGAATTAAAATCTAGAGGAATAACAGCTCTCTATGCCTTTCCCTTTTTTCTTTTCAAGACCTTGTTATATATTGATAATGTACTATAGGTTGGCACAGTATGCAAGAATGTATCCACAAGTGCGGATTATCTGTCTTCTACAAGTGCAGATGGATCTGCAAGAAATGAACAGTCTAGATGTGAAGAAGGCCTTCACTGAAAATCTGAGGTATTGACTGATGGTCAAGAATGCAGATTACTTCTCGAAAAGCGTACCTCTAATCAAGGTCCATAAAGTGGGGTCAGAAAATTTCATGTATGACCTAAATCCAATGGTATATTATACAGTGCATATTACAAAGATCTGAAAACCACTAAACATGCTGCGGTACAAGACTTGGATAAACATAAGACGACATGGTACAATTTTCAAAGAACAGAATAGATTAAAACACTTCCTCTAATTCTATAAAGGCTGGTTCACAGTTAAACATAAGTCATGCTGGTAAGGAACATGATAACCTTATTATAACCTGCAGGCCTTTTCTCCCTGTGCATCTAGAACAATGTAAGTTAATGTATAGTTGACATATGTTTTAGTGACCAGCTCAAAGAAGAACATTAAAAATCCCTTCATAGACTGTAGAAAATCATACAGTTACTTTTTTTTCTTCCAGTAATGACATATAGTGAACTTGATCATAAGCATTAAAACAAAAGTGAACACGTGAAAGGCATAAAAAAAAGGTTGACTGTCTTACACCACCAACCTTACTCATTTCAAGGTTGGATCCAATCTGGTCGAGAAGGGTAACATTCTCAATTAGAAGGCGCTGGGTTTCACTGTTTATCGGAGAGGCTGTTCTTAAACAGAATTACAATTGGGTCAGGAGAAATTTAGAAAAATGACAAAAGAAAACTGGAGCAAAGTTTCCTTAATATCTTGATTTTATCCAATAATACTTGCATCTTATCACATTATGTAAAGCAATCAGTGACATGTATACAACTTCAATTAATATGTCATTCCACAAACAGAACTATTATATAGACAATATGCCTGCCTGCCTGTACAACACCTTCATTTAACAAAATATCTTAATCATCATTATATGATAAAACATAATTGAAGTGTTCAGAAAGAAGAAACTTGTGCATTGCAAGTATGCTACACAACTTGTGGATCTCTAGTTAAGAACTTGCAAAGAACTCTTACAACTATGTTGGTACAAAATTGTGAAATTCTGCAATATGATTGATTTGTAACTAGAGAATCATGTTCACATTTGATCTGGTAAAGAGTTATGCTGACTTTTATCTACCTAATGCAACCCTCCTTTTCCCAACCTTGAGACTGGCTATAATAGAAATCAACAATATCATGCACAAGAGGACTTGTTGGGATATGAAATGCCGCAATAGAGTTGTAAACTACATCTTGTTATTGCTATTGTTGCTTTTGTTGTGGAATTTAACCTAGAATTACCTCAACAAAAAGTGCCTCATATTCACAAGTCGAATGAACTTAGTTAAAAGGCTTTTTAAGATCATCTGCAAAAGGACTCCAGATTGGCAAAACACAAGATCAAACATATGTGCATAAGAATGTACATGGCAAATACTGTGACGAGCAGAACGACAAAAAGAAAAATTGGAATGATGACATGTTGAAGTATTGGGATATAAAGTATACTGTTTTTATTTGTCAAACAATGTTCTATTTCATCATAGGAGGAAAAGATAAAACCAATTGTGTGTTGTCATGGCATTGGCATTATAAGATAACAAACCAAGAAATGAAATATTGAACAATCTGGCAGCAAGGAAAATTCCAAGTAGAATGGAACGCAAAACACTCACTTGCAAGTAGTACTCTCCTGTATATACTAACTTGCTTTAGTTCGGTTGAGACACAAGTTTATGAACCCAATCCCGTGTATACTAACTCTTCCATATTCAACTGAATCTTAGTAACTTTGAACAAAGATCTAATCATATGATGGTAGGGCCTCTTTCATTCATCATCGCTGAAGCTCTTTGTCAATCCCATACCCCTCAGTAGCTGTGGAGAGTAGTAACCACCAGAAAAGAAGTATCTGAATTCTGAAGCATTACTCACTTCCTTCATTTCATTTGTTTTTCCCCTTCCTATAGTGGCTTGGTAATTCCTGCATCAGTATGGCTGCATTATGAGCCATGAGGCTGGCATAAACTATTCGCACAAGGGAGTGGCAGAGATACGTGCTGCCAAAGGGCAGACTTGCTCTAATAGATATTCTCTTTCATTATCTGCATGGCTATTTAGACAGTCCCAATTGCCACCTTAATAGTGTCTATCCCATAAAATGCTCAGTAAAGGCCATAAAAAACTTATATAGGCCCTACTTAATTCTCAGAATGGCTTAAGACTTGTCCCTTTTGTACATGGGCATTCTTCTTCTACTTAGCATCCCAGGTGGGGGATATTTCCTGGTTATAACAAGATTTGCAGGTGCCAAATCCAACAAGATCAACTCTACTCCATATCTACTACTTCAGCTTGCCAACTCATCTTCAAAAACGTGATAACAGAAACCAAAACCACAATATTCCTTTTCAATTTGTATACTACAAACTAAAGTAGCATCCAATTGTGGCAGCTGCTCCCACGGCTTTTGAAACTACAGTAACAATATTCTAATCTGTAAATAAGAACTAACTAGTTCTGTCTGGAAGTTGGCAGATACAATAGTTTTACTCTTTTTTCATAATGTCCAAGAGAAAATAGGATTGCGTTTTTGGATTAGAACCTAAAAGAGAGCATCTGAACTACTAAAATGAATAGATACTCTTGCCTTAAGGACCAATGTCTGTGCTGCTCCAATGTAATTATACCGGCATTATTCCTCTTTTTAAAATAAACGCATATACACATCAAATTTCAGCCATTCCACAATTAAGAGCCTAAACATTTTTCCAGAATGCTCAAGAAAAATTGAACTTGAATGAAACCTGTCCGAATAAACCAGCATGGCTGCATTCAGTATAAACTAAGCCCGCAAGCTTCATCATCAGTTTCACCCTACCATTACCCTCAACCTTGATTGTACCAAGAACCTAAAAATATAATAACTAAGAAGACAGACTTATAAGCTACTGAACATAATGGTGGTTGAATGCATAGAGATTTTTAAAATTGCACTTGCAAGATGAATATTTCAACTAGAGCATTGATATAGAAAAGAAAAGAAGGAATCATGCAAAAAATTAGATGCCAAGGACCTAAAGCCATAAGATCCATATAAAGATGAACTATAGGGATATATCTATCAACAAAAATTGAGGAGTCCTAGAATCTTGGAGCAAGAGAAATATCTACAAACATAGGAATCAATTGGCGATCAACCGACTACGATACTAATATAAAAAAGCATAAAAATCAAATATTATTGAGAACATAAATGGATGTACTTAAAGTATATAAAAGAAAAGGATTTGTGCTTTTTTTCTTGTACAAACTTTCAAAATAAAATCTTCTTGAGATAAATAAAAAGATATCTAGGGGACTCCATAGAAATACACAGGAACAGAAAATAGAAAAGCACATAAAAAATCACATGAGATAAGATTGGCATTTGCAACACTAGAAAGGCACATCTATAAGAACTTAATATGGTGCTTATTGACTAATGTATTGGGTGATGAATTCATTAATGTTGTAACTCATACACTTCTGTTTCTATTTTTTTCCTTTTTAAAGAGAAAAAAAAAGAAGATACACATTAAATAATAAAACTTCATTTACAGTAGAATAATTTCAAGAATCCAACAACCTTTCAATAAAAGCTGATTACTGCAGTGCACATCAAGCATCGGAAAAGAATAGGTGGTCATGTTGTCTGATCGAACAGAATTCACACTAGCCACTGAGGAAGAATATGCCATCTTTTCCTGAAGAAAATCACACAATAACATCTTAGCTTCATATGCACTACAACATGATCAAATTTACTGGATTTAGAAAATCAAACTATAATTCCAGCCTTCGAGAGTATGTAACTAATTTATTTTGACTGAGAATTATTTAATAATGGTCTCATCAGAGTCCATTTTACAGAATGATACATAGTATGGCATTGATGTAGCTCTCATGTGATGATGACAAGTAGTTCTCATGCGATGATGATAGGACGTATAAAAATTGTTTATAAAGAAAGACATGATTCTATTATAATTTCAGACTGTATCATCGAAGAACATCATAGTTATGATCATATGTACAATCAGCACTCTATTCACATGCATTAGATTGGAGATTACCATGCTATCTTTTACCTTCTTGTCTGCATGATAATCTTCTAGCTTCCGTCTTTTACCAATCTCCTTCTTCTATTAGGAAAACCATTATATTAGTAAAAAAGAACTCATTTGGAAATAGTTCGCAAACAATCACTTTAGAGATAAGGGCATAAAAAATTATACATATTTTATAGTGCTCACGGAATCATCAGGAAAACCTGAAGGGAAAAACTAATCATATATATATTATCAAATAAGAGGAAATGAAGCAGAACCAGGAAATCCAGCGAAACTTGAATATATGAAAATAACAAATCAAATTTTAGATAATCAAGTTTCTTTCACTCAAAGTTAATATCTGATAGCAAGAATTACATGTGCTAACTATGCTATCTTGTGTGGCCCAACATGTATATATTTGTTAGGCTTCAGCCTAGAAACTCCCAAAAAGAAAAAAAAAATTATATGATTTTTATCACTATTGTGGCTTAGCAACCTAATTAAAACAAGCTCAATCAACTGGTTATAATATTTTATTTGCCCCATTGGAATTCACAATCAAATATGGTCTTCAGGTCCTACTACCATGTAAGCTTCATCCATTCTGCCCAAAGAAGAACTATTTTGCACTTTTATGTATATTTATCTTATCTTTTATGCCACATCAACAAAAAACCTACTTATCTTCAAATAAAAAATTAAAAAATGTTGTGCATTTCAAAGAGCACTTGTTTCCATAATAACTACTTTGTTTTCACAACAATTTCATATCTTGGGTATAAAGTTGCATGTACCTGCAGCTTTTTATACACTTACCACTCTAAAACCATTAATTTCCTTTTTGTCCTTGTGTCCATATTAACTGATGAGCTATCAAGAAAAAATCACCTTTGAACAGCATTATGAAAATATACAAGGAAACGAATGTCTACTGCACTCCATAACTCTGCTATACCAAAGGTAGTAAAAGAATATCTACAAATCTTTGACAAGACATATGAAAGCAAAAAATGCAATATTTAATTTTCATGAATACATTCAACTGAGAAACAAAAGAAGGCAAAACCTAAAAGCATCATGCAAAAAAGACGTGGAACATTCTGCAAATATGAGTAATCATGTGAAACTCACAGTCATCAACTGGCACCTCATTGCAACGTCCCTCACTGTCTTGTCAGGCAACCTAGCTGCTATCTTGATGTACTTCATTATATTAGGTTCGTCAGCATATCTGGATATTTGATATGACCAAAATATAAAGAGAAAAAGGTTACAATGATCAGGTAATGGTGATGCAAGTAACAGGTCAAACAACAAAATTCTCTAGCATGGTGGAAAGGAAAAAGTAAAACAAATATAAGATTCTATTATTTTTGCTTTTATGACATTTCCCATTATTATTCTATTGCAGAAAGAGAAAAAATGAATTAAATATCAAACTCAAACAACCTTCATAAGTTAAAATAGATAAGTTGGCACTATATTGTTACATGTAAATGAAAAAATTGCTAAAAAGTTACAACTGCCTGAGCAAGAGACCATACTGAACCAAGAAGAATTAAAAAAAAAAAAACAAGACCAATTACAGAGATATATTGATTCATCTGCTAATTAAGATCATTGTGTGCTAGAAAAATAAGCTTAAAAGCAAGAAAGAATACACACACACACACACACACACACACACACACACATGTTTAATAAGAATGAAGAAGGATAAAAGACAACAAGTAACTTACGCCACAAGGCATTGTTTCAACACAATCAATTCCTCAAAAGACCAACGGACAGCCACTGCTGGACTATGCTTGAGTGGGTGGGCAGATTCAAGAATGATGTTTCCAGAAGATTTACCAGGGAGCGACATCATAGAAGAAGTATTGCTTTGTGTGCCAAGGTTCCTGGGCATGATCATCCCTGCCATGCCACTAATTTCACCTGAACTATGCATTCCTCCTGACATCAACCCTGTTGCACTGTTCACCACTTCGGACTGAAAAGGAACAACATTTTGGTTGCTAAAAGATTGTGAGAAGCCTCTTCCATGGTTGAAATTCAAGTTATGATCTGCCGCCATTCTTATACCAAGAGCAGCTTTCTCGGGCACCAATGTACTGATTTCCAAAAGCGGAGAGCTATATAGAACTTCTCAAAAGCCCACGAAGGCGAAAGAAAGACACCCTCAGAGTTGTCGATGGTCAAACAAAAATCGAAGATTATGTTTTTCAACAATTCAATAGACAGAGAAACATGAATAAGGACAACGTCATATACATGGCTCGAAAGCTACAATTATGACGGCCGGAAGAGATCGGAGACGAACACCACGAGCCCTGAATAGCCAAAAATCGGAACTTTTCGCTGTCCCCCCAACGATTCAGGAAAAGCTTGCTTTCGGGACCCTATGCAAGAAGAACAAAAGACCATCAATTTAACTTTCACATGCTCTCCGACGCAAACCGACACAACAACGAAGATTTGCTAAAACCCTTATAAATCCTTATCAAGAACGAATCTTTCTGGCTCAAAATCTTCGGGGCCGTATAAAAGAGAATTAATTACCAGAAAAGATTGATTCTTGAACAGATGGAACATAAAAAAGAGAAGGGGGAAAAAAAAAACGTACCAATCTTTGCTACGATGCCGCAGGCTCCTCTCTGCTATGGGAAGGCAGAGCAGATATATAAAGCGAAAAATCAAGATCAGTACAAGGAAGAGTAGAAATTGAGAACGATGGTATTGTATTCATCAAAGTAGCAGCGGAAGTCGGGAAGCAGACACTCTGTTGGATGCATGCGGTTAACACTTCCTGTGGAGCCTCATGCGGCCCTCCCCCTCCGTCCTCTCCGACCTTCTCCCTCCTTTCTTTCCGCCCAAACTTCTTTTCACTTCCTTTTGGACGTATCGATTTTTATACGCCTCTCTGCTTTTGGTTTCTTTTCGGCTTCTGCTTCTGCTTTTGCTCCCAGTTGTCTGCTTTCTTCTTCTTCTTTTCGCAACTTGATTTAGTGAGTGCTCATTCCCATACCAATTTCCAATTTCCATCCCTCTCTCTCTCTCTCTCTCTCTCTCTCTTTCTCTCTCTCCACCCCCACTGCATTTGTTGAGACACTGTTGGACATGATATGTTTCTGGTAAAAGTCCAGAAATGTCCTTTACTTGGCAGTGTCTCAAGGATTTTATTTGTCTTAGTCCTTCAAACTTTAGAACTTAGATGTTAATTACTTTTCTTCTTTTCAGATATGTTTGGTAATCCCATAAATACCTCATATCATCTGAATGATGGATGCAACAAAAGTTTAGGAAGATCAACAAAAGGCAGAAATACAGAAAATAAACAAAGAGGAAATGAAGGGTAGATTTTAACAAATTTATATTATTGTTTGTTAAAATTGTGCACAGAAGCAATAGTTCTTTCTTATTTAACTGTTCTTAAGTCATTTGTCGATCGTAGAAAGCCAATAATTTGGTATTGCATAACATTTGATGTCATGATGTGAGGCCAAATAGTTGAGATTCATATTGTACGTCTATTTTAGCGACTGTTGCACATCTATTTTAAGAACCCAAGTTTGCAATATATTTTAGATTCGTTCGCCAATCATACATAAAAGCCAACTATTTGACTTCGAATATGACATTTGTTTTTATGATATGAGAGAAATAATAGAGAATCATATTCACCTTAGCTAGTATCTCTTGTCATTTCGTGATAATTGCCTTGAATGTCAACAATCCACTTGTGAAATTATTCTTTCTTTCTTTTTTTGGATTCGATTCTAAATAAGAAAAACAAAATTCAAAGCACATCAATAAACAAAATAAATTCAAGTCTTATACGAGGTGGAAGGAAAGATATGAAGTCCTAAAAATAGATAATCAGCATAATTTTGAATAAAAGAATAAAACATGTCATTAATGAATACAATGTGGTGTTGGCTTCTATACTATAAAGATCATAAAGGAACACCAAAAGTGAAGTGCACATATCGAGGAGGCAAGAACACTATTCTTTTGCTAAAGATATCTACATAGCTTATCCCAAATAGTCCGAAAGGGTTTCCTACTATGGATTGGGGATGTTTACACTCATGTCAGTGTCCCCAATCTGTCACAATTGGATGGGGTTGACAATGCCAACACATGCCTCGGAGTGACTGCCAGCGAAAAAGACTCGTCAAATGGACCGTTGACATCAGATATTTTGATTGATTTCAATCATTATTTTCCATATATATATATACATACACACACATCCCAAAGCATTTATGAAAATGTTCAACACAAAGGGATTGATGATTTATATGGTCCAGTGCTTAATCATTACCCCCAAAAGGTTGATGTGCATGATTGGGTTACAGCTGGGAGAACTCCTACACATATATCACATGATGAGCTCAGTAATAAGATTTACACCCAGCCAAAAGGTGATCAAAGTCATATCTCATCATGTTTTCTTGATAATGTTTTTTATGTAACCCATGCCAGTTCATCTAAAATGTCCTGCACTAATTCAAAGTTAACATGGTAAGTTAGTCCTCTTTCATGATATTTACTGGTTTAGGTCTTATGATTCTATATCTTAAACAGTGGTAATGTTGCTAAGGAAAGGATAAAGGCTTTGGGATCTAATTTTGAATTAAAATGATTGATATTATCTCGAGAAAGATGGAATCTTAGGTCCACTCATCCTCTGCCTACTGCTCACTATCTAACATGCTTTGTGGCTAAGCAATGCAAAAAGAAAAGGGTAACACATCAATGCTGTACGGTCGATTACCCACACAGATTAAGACGGGCCCCACATGTGGGTCCCAGGTTTATTTGCTACTGTCACCTCCTTGTGTAAGGGGGTACGATTCGGTGGGTAGAAAAGGACAGGGAGTTTTAACGGATGCTTATCTGGAAGTATATTACATATTTACATGTTAGTTAGTCGACGTCACTAAGATCTATCAAGATCAGCAATAACTTTTTTGACCAGAATTCGATACACACGGTTGTTGTACCCTTGTGGTGACGCGACGAAAAACATGGAGCCTGCGCGATTTCCCCAGTCTTAGCAGGTACACAAGTGAGTATCTGTCGTACGAGTGTCGAAGAATTTTCGTGTTTAGTTACGAAGACGTGGCCGACTGCGGCACATGGTCAGATGGAACGCGGCCCGTGAAGCGGTCCAGCAACTGTTCACCACGAGTCCTCTGGGGGTTGGCGGTCGGTGGCGGCTGACAGAGTAGTTGGCCGGAGTGCGTTTGGTTACAGTGGATGGTCGGTGCGCCATAAATTTGCACTGCTGCCATGTCTTTTTTTGCCAGTGACAATGAATCGTAATAAATGACATCAATGAATAATACAATACCCAGTGATTCAGATATGATGTTACGGTGCTACACGTGCAATAGATTAAAGGAGAGTTTGGTTGCTCGTAATTGGACTGTTTATGAATCATTGTTTACATGATGTAGGCCACTTATGAGCGCTAAATCGGAGTCTATAATTATGAACTCATAACGTGACATGTGGTATGTCACACTTTTAGGTATTATGTCGATATCTCTGTCTCTCATCTTATTTTATCCATGTCACAACTTTTGCCTAATGATAATGAATACAGTGAAGGAAAGCGGATCAATATATATAATCTTAACTATAAACATATATTTTTTAAGTCACAAAGAAACAATATGATTATTATTATTATTATTATTATTCATGCGACGACGATTACTTCCTTCAGAAATGCTTCGACGGGTACCGTAAAGTGAATCCCAAGTGAGGTGTGATCGTATGAGGCCTTCCTTCAAGTGGGACTGGTGATGTGTAGTCAAATAGGAACCTAAGCTTTAGACAATGACCTATTGCAGGTATCCGTATCAAACTCACTATTAAGCATGGATTCCCGAGGACCCACCAAGGAGCACTTCCCCATCATGGGAAGAAGGGCATGGTACTGACAGGAGGCAGACCACCGTAAACTCAGCTGCCACTGGGGCCTCCCCGTCCACTGTGGAGAATGTTCTGATGGAGCCACCTAAGATTGGAGCACTTGGATGATTCCAAGCTGCAATCATCGGTCCACTGTGGTCGGACATGTCTATGTCAGCAAGGATCACTGAAACAACATTGTGCTTGCTATGTGCTCCAGGAACAAGATTCCCTTGTGCTCGGTGCAAATGACTTGATCTAGCAGAGAAAGAATCAGACAGATGGTTATTATATCCCATGGATATAGCAGCTGTTGGACAAGAGTCGGTTCAATTCTTACGCTGCACCAATCCTCCTGCTTTCGAGTAAATATTTTAGCATCTGATGCCTGTGGAACTGTTTGCGGAAATGCTTAGCTGAACTTTTCGGCCTCTTAGATCTGAAAAACATATTTTAACAGCTTAGGAGGAGGTGATGGGAATGAAATTATCGCTTGCTTTTCAAAGTTCCACATCATTGAAGTAGTAAGTTGAATGGCTTTTGTCCATAATGCTTTGAAACAGTTCTTACCTGAATACTGTCTGCTTAGTTGATGCACGGGTCTTTTCTGCAACTCCCCATGATTGGACTTTTTTGCTATCATGATTTACAAGTCAGCAAGAGGCCATCACCAAATTGGTTTCCACCTCATCACGCTGCTCACTAAGATCATGCATTGTCCGAGATCTTGTTGTCAGCAATTGGTGCAAGCGCAGGAGGGGGTGGGGTGTCTTCATCCATTGACCCTTTAATTCTCTGCCAAGAAGATTGGAGTTTACCTTTGCAGAGTAGTAGTGCAGGTATTAATCAAGAAAGTCTCTCTGACTGCAACACCAGAAGGAAGAAGTGGTGTGCCTGAGGGTGGAGGAGAACTTATTAGTTTAAAGCTTTTAGACTCCTACCGAACTCAAAAGGCCAAAGGGTGCTGTACGAAGGAAGTAACCATCCGTTAAAAGAGAGCTCGAGGAGGTCCATCTTTCTGCCTCCCAACATGAGGAAACACCAAATCTGAAGACACCTGCAGAGGCTATATAAAATCTTGGAAAAACAAGGGAATGAGCCTACTTCTAGCTTCAAAGATTTGTTGGGAAGAAGCAAATGGTTGTGGCCCAGTTCTTTAGTGCTGGAAGTGCTCCCACAAAGGAGAACCACTTCACATGCATTAGTGCTGGTGGGCACCATGAAACAACAAGGATCACAACTCTGATAGGGCGAGTACACACCATTAAAGCACAATACCCACAGAGACACTTCATGTTAACTTACACGACAATGGAGCAATCACCATCATCCACCACCAATGGTAGATCAGCGATTACAAAAGAGAACCTACTTTTGCCTTGGGAAAAAGTATCAACATCGAAGTTGGAGTGACCGAGCAGTTCCTAGTGGCGGAAAGCATTTCTCCAACTGATGATGTGAGGTTCCATTACCTGGTCCATTTGCTAGAAAAGAATCCATCAAACAGGTGATGCTTTTTGAAAGTTGCAGGAGACTTTAGTCACCCACTACATCATGTGCCCAAAAGCAAATAATGGAACACCAACATGGTTATGTACGTCCCAAGTCAGCAATGCTGCCAAGTTAATTCCACTAGTATCATAAGGCAACAGAACCCAGTCTGAAAGAGGAGCAGAATGGTGTGCATGAGAAAAGGTAAGAGATATATATTCGAGATATCATATGTTTCAGACAACTATCACCTTCTTTGAAGATCATGAAAAATACATAAAAAGTTAAACGAATCACCTTCTTAAAGAACAAGTATCTGCTTTTTTTCCTTCAAAATCTCCTAAAGAGGCATGTGCAAACGCTTTGCAGCAAGAAACACATGATACGTTTAAAATCCAACACATGCATATTATTCCAAGTTGTGAAAAATATATCATCGGAAAAAGCAGTATAGCAGATTCTTATCGAAGAATGTATCAGAAAAAGACATCGTTCCATTTGTTGTATTGGGCATTTGGAAAAGGCATTGCATGCTTCTGCTCATTAACAGGGTTTTGGCATGATAGCAAACTAATAGATTCCATCATGTGGCGAGGGCAAGAAAAGGCCTCAATATGTACAAGCATACTGTTGTTACATCTAAAAATTAAAGTAGGGTAGTGCTCCGTGGGTTAGCAAAGAAATGTTTTCTGAACACTGGCTCCATGTTACTCGAACTGGAATTTAAAAGGCTTTTCAATATGGTAGGAGGAGCAGAGGAAGGTGTTTGATGTAACATCCTCACAGTCAGGTGATTATCAAGAATCATCAATTCCAAAAGCCTTCTGCAGTTCTGCATAAATATTCAAAACAAGATACGTTATGTGTGACAATATTACTGCAAGTTGCAGACAACAAATAAACAAAGCTAACCATAATCAGACTACAATCCAACTGCTTCATAAATGCATATTGGCAAAACAAATCATTTTCGAGGGGTATAAGGTAAACCTACACGATGACCTCCTGAGAATGACTGACGAAGAGAAGCAGAAGTAAATGCACAACGAAGAAGACGAAGAAAGCTAGAGAACATGTTGGTTTCATTCACACCTATGCATAACTTAGGCAGCACGAATCTAGTGACCCAGAGACCAAACCCAGTGGTATATGTATTCTCCACAAACATCAGAGAAGTTACAGGGAGGTTATGACGGGTGTCTCCTTTCTTTTTCTTCTTTTTTTTTTACCTGACTTCTGGCAATCCGCCTTCTGGAAGGGTTCAGTGTATGAAGATCCACATGTTAAGAAACCAAGTTGTGATGATAGTTTTGGCCACATGAAGTGGAAATAGGCCAGGCCTAGTAAAGTATGTATCTGATTCAAGAGACCTAGTCTAAGACCCAATATTCTCCCATACAATTATATACAAAATAACATTCTATAAATACAAGTACCTGAGGGTTCAATACATCCATTCGCCGAATGATATCCTCCTGCCATCAGACCAAATAGATACATTAGTCAGCCTAACTCTAGACATAATTTTCCACATAAACTACAGGACAAATGATGTAGGATTGCTCATAAGCTCCAAATGGTATATTAAGAAAAATAACACAGATCAATAGATTAAAGACATGAGCAGATGCATGACCAACATGACTGTAAAACGAGGCATGGAATATGAGTCCCTAACTCTTTTATGTATATGGCTTTTCTGTTATGAAGCACGCATATGAATTATTCATAATGGAGTTGATATTTTCATATTTAAAGAAAATTCATTCATTTTTAGACACAAGTAAATAGGATAATATGATGTCCACAAATGCAAATTAAAAATGATACCTCTAAGATGCCAGGATATTGCATGACAGTTCCAAGAAGTCGACGTGTAAGACCCTTGTACACTATGGTGTTTGTACTTCCATCAACGTTTATCCATGGTAAGATAGGACGAGATGGATGTGTTTCACTACCAGCAGTATAATTAACCTCCTTCCCTTGATCAGAATCTCTGACCACCATGCTTTCTTTAGGAAGAGTGGCAATTGATATATTGTCTTGACCTTCCACATCCAGTATGACGGATTCACTAGGTAAATCAATAATAGTCATTTTATGCCCATCACAGACATCCACATTAGACTTCTGAGAATCATAAGTAATATCAACTTTTTTCTCAAAATTTTGCCGAGATGCACCATAACTTGTCACTCGAGATTTCATGTAAGATGACATATTGCGATCTGGAGTTTGAACTCCAGGTGATCGTAAAAGATACTTAGATTTGTATGAAGAATCAAGGATTCGTTCGTTGTCAAATGAATTGACCTGCACAAATATCAAATATTAAATAATTAAATATTCCTTGAATCATATCATGGTTGTCCACTATATTACAAACAGAAAAATGAACAATAAGAACATCATATCGTCATTATAATCTGCAAACGATCATAGAAACACTTTTCTGATCTATTAGGTTTTTAATCCATATGCTGCTACAAAAATATAAAAAATAACATGCTAATCCTAGAAGGCCTATGAGTTTTCTAGTAAATTGATACAAAATGCATAAAACATAGATAAACTAATAAACATAAAAAATTATGGTGATATTCTCAGCTAGAAGTGGAGTAAATTACAAACAAATATAGATATCAACGATTAAAGGTTCCTTATACTTTTTGTTAATATTGCTCCTTAAATTATCCAGATTACAGTTTAGGCATTACACAATTCAAAACTACCCAAGCATTGCCTGCTCCATGACAATTTAGAGAACAAGGAACAATATTGCATTTAAAAAAGTCAGACTAGTGCACAAGTCTCCTTCCAATGCGGCATCTAGAAAGGATCAGCCAATTCCCTACAATCATAGAAGTTTCTGTGACAATTTGAAACCTAGTCACCTGCCACCGAAAAGCAACCTTACTGTGACACCAAGGCTCAACCTCCAAATGCTCAATCTGCCTAAACTATATTTACATACCCAGACCAAAATACACTAATAATTATATGTATTATCATGTATGGAATATAGAACAAACTATTGTGTAAAAGCATTTAGTTATTTATCATGTGAGCTAAGGTTATACTGATGAGTTTCAACCTTTTATTATGTTGAATCATGAAGTTAATGAACTTCAGAAGATACATCTTCTAAATAGACTCAAAAGCAAGCTTATTAAATTCGAGTACTAGACCTATGTTGGTCTTGGCCTAGATTGGTGCTGCTCCTAGTCATATCGGCATATGTATCGGCAGTGATTTAAAAAGCGCTAGGCGCCAAAATGCGCCAAGGTCCAAAAACACCCGAGACGCTAGGTGCTCGCCTGAGCAAAGCGAGGCGCTAAAATATAAAAATATATAATATAATTAATAAATATAATTATTTAAAATTTTAAATAAAAATATGCTATTAAATTAAGAAAATCTAAAATACAAAATCACATTGTCACATTAACAAAAAGTGTCAAAATTCAAAACAATAAAATTTTACATCAAAGTCATTTATGTTGAAACCTAGCAATAAATAAAAATTAACAACATTAAAATCAAAATAATATATTATTAATCTATTAACAGTATTGAAAATTAATCATTTCAAAATTCAAATAAACTTAATATTAAGAGTATACTGTATACGGAGCCTGACGGAGAAACGAGGAAGCAGCGGCAAGCAGCGGCAACGGCGAGCGGCGGCGGGAAAGGGAAAGGGAGTGGGAAGCGCGAGCACCGGGAGGGCTCGCGGGAGTCGCGAGCAGCGGGAAGGCTCGCGGGAGGCGCGAGCAGCGAGAGGGCTCGCGGGAGTCGCGAGCAGCGGGAAGGCTCGCGGGAGGGCTCGCGGGAGGCGCGAGCAGCGGAAGCGGGAGCAAGAGCGACGAGCAGCGAGATTGGGATCGGGAGCGACAGCGGGTTAGGGTTGAGTAAGGGTTATATCGGTTTAGTTGGTTCGATTGAACCAACTAACAACCGAACCAGGACCGAACCAAACCTAAAATCCTGGTTCGGTCACTTGGTTTACCCAGGCGCTCGCCCGAAGCGCCCAGCGCCTGGGCTCGGGCGAGCGCCCAGGCGGCGCCTGTTTGAAGCGTGTCGCCTGGGACATTAGCGAGGCGCTCGGGCCTCGCCTCGCCTCGCCCGAGCGCCTAGGCAAGCGCCCGAGCGCCTTTTTCAATCACTGTGTATCGATACATACCAATTACCGAGTTTCGGTAATCACTAAAAAAAATTTGAAAAATTATAAAAAAAAGTTACTACCCAATACAGACCATGTATCAGACACATCATCAGGCGTACCTTGGTCCACATGTTGGTAGGTTGTCAGACTGATAAATAACACCCATTACCAAACCATGCTAGGCAGCATTGCAAGACTTGTTCAAATGTTCATGGTCGTTGCAAGAGTCAAAACATCTTGAATGGCTCATTTTTAACAAATATTTCTAAATTGAATACATGTTATGTCTAACTAAAATAATAATAGTGAGGTCTTCTTGACCGGGACTCATGGCCTAGGTGCTTAACTACTGCATGGATGTTTAAACTAGTAAATCACGTGCCACTTTCTAGGATTTTTTTTATCAAAGATGAAACCATGAATGAAAAGTCAAACATCATTTTATCTCCAATTTTTTCTTTGAAGGAGCCACATGTCTATACCATGATTCTTTGTTGGTGATTCAGGACATCATAAACCAAAGTCCGAAGAGAACTCAAGAAACATGAGAGGAAAATCCACCAAAAAAATGACATAAGGGGAGGCTTACATAGCAATTTGGGTTGATACAAGTAGTTTGTTAATGTTGAGAACTAGTGAACCATTCAACAGTAAACAAGTGATCATTAAACAGGAGGTCAACCTAACAAGCTAAAAATCATGAACCAGTTCTGTTTAAAAAGCAATCGTATAAATTAGGCACCGCCAAGTTGCAAAGGAAGAAATTCTTAATCAAAAGTAATTTAAACCATGGTTCACCTTATCGATCCATACCGGTGTACCGATTAGTCATCAATATAGTACGTACCAATATATCGACACATGATACGGTAAAGTATATTGACAGACTAGTGTGTACCGCCCATACCAATCCCTTATCGGATCGATATGTACTGCCCGTACCAATCCTCTGTTGGATCAGTATACACTGCCCGTACCGGTGGTACATCATGGTACGACGAACCTTGATTTAAATCAATAACAAAAATAAAAAACAATATAGAAATAAATTAGGAGTCCAAAACTGAATATATTTAAGCACTTAGTACGGAAGAGTACCAGTCTTAGAAAACATTAAAAAGGTATGAAGAATGTGCAACTTCTAAGAATCTGAATCACATTAATTGTGAATGAAGAATTTATGGATTTTTCAATCATCAATTAATTCTTGATACTTCATTCCAAAGTTAAATGGCAAGACAATACGAATGAGGAAAAATCAGCAATAATTGGAAACTTTGCGATCATCACCATATGACTAATTTTTTTTAAAAAATTGATATGATTTTATGATTCTTATAGATAAACATATTAAAGAAAGAAGGTGAGAGAGGGAAGAAAGTACAGATTCAATATTGAATATGAAACTATGGAAGTTTTGGATCTATCACCAGTTTATGATGTGCATACTAAATGCTACGGTTCTTAAGGCAATCTGAAATTTAGGTTATAATGATCTCTGTCAGACGGTCGACACAGCAAAACATAATTTTCATCAGGATTTAGTCGGCACTTAAATAAACTTGAACAATAAGAAAACTGAGATTGATCCGCATGGCCTACATGGGGGAACAATAACACATAGCAAGCAATTGAGCCATCACCAAATCAATGCAGACAAAATAACCAATGGAGTCTTCTTTACTTTCTGATAATTATCCATCAAATGTTGTACTTGTGAACCAAGAATTAAATGGATCTTATACTACAGAAAAGAAGACAAGCTTCAAATTTCACTGCTTGTTGCCACAAGATGAACTGCATGACCCCTTACAGAGAAAATAGAGCAAATATATCTATCATAAGTAGTCAAATCCAGATCCAACCTACTTAAGCAGGTGAACATAATTTGTCAACATTGCCATCCAAGGGTCAGCTTATCTAGGTAGGGTTGCCAGGTTAACTACTACTTTATATTTAAACAATATCAGCAAAAATCTCCAACTGGTACAGGTAGGCCCAACCTCTGTTACTATAATAAACCTAAAACAATCTCAAACACTGACAAAGTTTTATAGTTGTTCAAACTTGTTACCTAAAACAAAAATTTACTTAAAAGACAAGGTGAGAACTGCTCAATATAGGCCAATTTTTAGTTCCTTGTGAGATTTTTGTAAACTAGTTATGACTGGTATTTATTAATTCCGCAGCTAATCAGAATACAAACCAAGGGCTTTCACTTGGTTAGGTCTGGTATGGATTGTATCATGTGTATCACGGAGCAAGCCCATTGTAACGGATTTTATTGGACAGTAAACAAAAGGGTACCAAACTGTAACCAAATGGCAAGTACTAGTATCATTTTTTTTACAACTAACATAACTAATCCTTTTCCAAATTTTTTCCTTTTTTTCTCTTTCTCTGGTACTCTCTCTCTCTCTCTCTCTCTATTCATGTGCTTTATTTCTCACGCACAATATCCTCATTGCATAGCTGCAACCTGTCCCTCCACGTCATCATTGTCTCTTATTCTTTGCCTAAGTCGTCATCTCCTCCTCCACTACCTCTTCTACTCCTTCCCTCTTCTCTCTAGTCCAGTTGGTCTCAACCAGTCTTGAATATTGATTCATACCAGAATCAACTGGTCTGGCCATGAACCGATATTAGCACCAGATCAAGATTCTTAACCATGATTTTGATAGATAGTAAATAAAGTAAATAGTACATGCTTGAAAAAAATGTCAAATCACACTGTTTGATGTTTCCCCTTGATCAATACAAATGGAGAGGTACATGTCAATCTGAGGATGAACCATCACATGGACCATCCTCGTTTTGGGCAATCCAATCCGGACAAAGGACTATTGTACCACCTAAAATGGTACAAAATCGATGGTATGTACCAGTCTGGGCATGGATCGGACATGCTGCCGCAAGCCTTCTTTTCACAGGACACGTGAAATCGATACTGTTGTCATTTGACCTCGCCGCCACTATCGTTCACCATACCTCCTCTGGTACACTCCTCTTCTTCCTTCTTCCTTCTTCCTTCTCCGTGGCTTCTTCCTTCTCCTTCACCACTTCCACTTCTTCCTTCCTCCTTCCATTTCCACCTCTTCTTCCTTCCTCTTCCTTTTTCTTCTTCCCTCCTCCTCCACCATGTCTTCCTCTTCTCCTTTGTCCTTAAAACACTGATATGTACTAGGGTCAGCGATTTAAAAAGGCGCTCACCTAGGCGAGGCGAGGCCCGAGCGCCTCGCTAATCTCCCAAGCGGCGCGCTTCAAACAGGCGTCGCCTGGGCGCTCGCCCGAGCCCAGGCGCTGGGCACTTTGGGCGAGCGCTTGGGTTAACCAAGGCGACCGAACTAGGATTTTAGGTCTGGTTCGATCTCCGATGGTTAGTTGGTTCAATCGAACCAACTAAAACCGATATAAGTGACAACCCAACCCTAACCCTTGCCGCTGCCGCTCCCGATCCCGATCTCGATCCCGCTGCTCGCCGCTATCGCTGCTCGCAAACTCTGCCACTGTCGCTGCTCGCAAACGCTGCCGCTGTCGCCGCTTGCACCTCCCGCTGCTGGCCGCTCCTGCTCCCACTGCTCGCCGCTGTCGCTGCTCGCAAACGCTGCCGCTATCACCGCTCGCGCCTCCCGCTGCTCGCCGCTTCCTCTTTTCTCAGTCAGCAGGCTCAACACCCCTTTACACTTCCTTTTAACAGTATACGTATACTGTATACTGTTAATATTATTAAGTTTATTTGAAATAATTAATTTTCAATACTGTTAATAGATTAATAATATATTATTTTGATTTTATTTATTTGAAATTATTGCTAAGTTTCTTAATACTATTAATTTTGTATCTTAAATTTTCTTAATTTAATAGAATATTTTTATTTAAAATTTTAAATAATTATATTTATTAATTATATTTTATATTTTATATATTTTAGCGCCTCGCTTCGCTCGGGCGTTTTTGGACCTTAGCGCCTAGCGCTTTTTAAAAAAACACTGACTAGGGTACCATGTATCAATACATCGGTACCGATTGGTATATATCAGTGTGGCCAACAATCAATACGGACTCGACATACAATATGACAATCCTTGGTTTGGACCATTAAAAGAAAATTTTAAAACATATATTAGGGCTCAAGTTTGCGAGCATTCTTCACCTCGAACATGAGCCCTTTTTGTTTCTCCTACTGCAACCGCTTGTTTCTCCCTCCTTTTCTCGTCTTCCTCCTTCCTCTTCCTTTTCTCTTCCTTCTACTTCCTCTTCTTCGTCCTTCCTCCATTGCGCCTTCCTCTTCTCATTCTTCTTCGTCTTCAAAACACCTGTGGTTACTGGTGTTGGTACACGAATGCATACAAGTGTATTGCGTGTTAGCACACAAATACCGACCTGTCACATCCTTAGTTAGGATTGCCTAAGGCATGCGGTACCCAAGCAATATTTGTCCACAAGGGTTAGCCTAGACCTTAACCTTAACCAGTCCACAAAGGACCTACACAAAGAAGAAAAGGTTCGAAAGGCAAACATGTGGGAAATATACCATCGTCATGCACAAAAAGGGCAAGATAACCGAGATCACAAGCAACACAAAGCAACCAGCTTTTATTAGGCACAAATGACTCTCAAAACGGGTTGAACAAACACACACAAAAGGGGTTCCAAAGGCAGATGCAGGTCCAATATTCACCTAGCATTTTTGTCGAATAGAAAACAAGCACGCAAAAGGGGTTCCAAAGGCATATGCAGGCCCCATCTGCCCAATGCCACCCAGTGGTTCTAAGGTGCTAAGACGGTTGAGGTTTCACATCGCAAGACTGTCAGCAAGAAATTAGCTCATGGTACACAAGAATAGGGTTGTTTTGGCTATTTTTCACTTCGCACGGCATCGTACGTTTCCATGTTTTACATGATAGAAACAAAAAATGAAAACACTAATAACAAATCAAAATGGGGCTAACGGTAGAACTTTCTTCCACATACATACTACCTATAAGAAAACAATTGAAAACATAAAAAAAACAAGAAACAAGAATCGAAAAGCATCATGGACATGCGTCAAACACCTTGACTTGATTGCTCCATGATAGACCGCTACAGACCGGTCTGGACAAGGTTCGGTACGGTTCCAATACACAAAATGACAATCCTTCATCCATTGTAGATTAGTTTCACATAAAAATTAAGCAAAATACAACATCTTTAACAGCCAAAAAACTTCTAACTGATTTTTTCCCACAAACTACTTCTTTAATAATTGATCTGAACTTGTATCATCATGTGAAACATTATCTATTTTTCACAAGAGAGAGCTATTTTGAAAATATAAAGCTGATAAAACAACTATAATTTAGATTCTGACAGTACCAGTAATATTAAGTTGACAGAACATGCTTTCAGCACATAATCAGTCAAGTAACTGGACAATTTTAAATAATAGTAACAACCTCTAACTTAAAGTACCTTGGAAATCTGATTAAATAAATGTAATAAATAAAAACCCAATAAAGGTGCTCACACCGAAATCCTGTCAGACAGGTATATACTGACTGGAACAGTATACATCAGTATACTGATGCAAAAAAATGTTAAATATTTGTTTAAAATATTGGTAACTAGCATTCCTCGGCACAGTGACATGCAATACCCAATCAAATCCAGATGTATTTAACAGTATGGAAGGTATGGACTGGTACTTCAATTCATGATGTATTGATTTAAAATAGAAAAAACAAGCCATGAATGGTAAGCAATGCCAATGACATATGTAAGACAAAATTATATATATTCTAGGAAATGAAAGTTCAGGGTGCTGTTTAAGTTGCTACAGCTGATGAGATATACTACCTTGACTTTTGACAATAAAAGATTGTTCATCTAGGAATTATCTAGTATAATTCCTAGATAAAATCACCAATATCTCAAAATTTCATGAGTGAAAAAAGTTCATAAACATCAAAATATGGAAAAAAAATCACTTTCACAATATCAAACGCCTTGTATCTGAAATATGTTGAATAGTAAACAAATTCTGCAAGTAAGAATGCATATTTCGAGACTAGCGACAAACTATACCCATAATTGAAATGTTGAAAATGGATATACCTTGATTATTAATTGAAATAATTCCATAGTGTCCATGACAACTTCTGTGAATTGCTCCCCTATAAAAAATAAAACAGAAAAATGCATTAGGCTATGCCTTAGATTCTCATTGCATTCTGGTGCATGTGCAAGGGAGACAAAATATACCTTGAATGTCCATAGCTTCAGATAATTCTTTCATGTTCAATCCTTGTTCACCAGCTTGACAAACAGCAGAATGAACAGATTTAAAAAACTCAGGTGAAAAGGTAGTTGCTTTGTTCCCATCAAGCTGTACCGCAGACAAACATTCAGCATAGTTGGCTATGGCATCCCAAGGCACTTCATCAACAACTGCTGTTACACTTCCATAATTCTGACACATTAGATTGCCACGCAAGCCTGCACCAATTTCTTCAGATGAGAGTCCTTGACTGTTCTTGTCATATGAAGAAGAACACTCGAGGTTTTCCTTCATGAGGTTTGAAAATGTGTCAGCTGAAATAATTTTACGTTTTAAAACAACTCTAATGCCTGGGAATCCTTTTTCTCGACGAGAACAATAATCATTGTCGATTATCATTTCAAACTTGGGCTTCTTAATCTTTTTCAAATTCCCTAACTTAGTTTCAGCACATTTTCGTTTTAGGCTATTTGAATTATTAACCTTATCATGTTCCACTGGTTCATCAGTCTCTCCAATCCCTTCCTTTGGCATGCATGGTGAAATAGAGAATTCTCCTGATGAAACAAGAGCGAATAGGTGGCAAATTTCCCCACATTGTAAATCTTGAGTCAGACTTACTCTATTATCTATTAAATCTTTTTCTTGCTTGCTAAGCCAACTAGAAAATTCAACAGCCCTCTTCCCTGAATCAATTGGAAAGGGAGAAGAAGATAAATGATGCCAGAACATTTTTGAAAGGACAAATGGTCGGCTACCATGCCCAACAACCTGTCAACAGGCCAACAGAACTTGTAAGAAAAGATGGAATAGAACAATATCAATAACAAATATGCACAAATTCATCAAAATTTAAATGTAATCGGTCAGTTTGCCATCCTAATGCCATGACATTATTTGTAAACTTTCACACACATTAGACTAGTTGCAACTACTTGGCTTGCACTTGGGTGCTTCTTAGTTCTTACTAAAACTACCGTGGAATTTTGGGACATTACTGGAAGGAATAAAAAACAGCATAGTATCACAATTACCTCATGACAGAAATTAGTACATCTAGTTAAAGGTTCACTAATACCAGTGTTTAAACCTTTAAGACCAGTAGGGTCCAGATACTCTGGACAATACACCGGCTTATATTGCAAGATATCAAGGAATAAAATAATTTAACAATTAAAAATGAACAATACTGCATTGACATTGAGCTACATGTTGGATTCCAATATTCATTGGACCAATAAACACCAGCCGGTGTATGTACCAATTTGAGCAATATCTAAAACCTTGCTCCAGAACTGCTAACTTCACTAATATATGACATTTCTGGCTGGTATGCGTTGCTTTGATTAGACACAGCATGGACAGAAAACACTGATGCAGCATACCTAGGCACATGTTCAAGCACAAGCCAGCAAGCACAATTCGGCACAGAATAGCGAGACATCATCCTATACATAGCGAGACATCATCCTATACAAACATTTTTTTGATAAAGGACCTTCAATGCATTGGTAAGAATGAGGAGTTGTGTAGATTGGTAATGCACGAGAGAAAACCACCCTCATTTTTGTCATTTTGTTACACAATATTGTTCATTTTCCAAACACAAAATTATTCAGATATCCTAGTTATGGTCTTTTTTCCCTTTGCAATAATTTAAACAAAACATGTATAATCTTCATCAATTAGTAGAATTGAGATGCATAAGCACAAAATGATTTAAGAGGTTCAAGCAGACACAAATTTTGCCTATCATAATAGTAATGTCAGTTCAAATATTGCAAGTTAGCTCAAAATTTTATAAATATGAAGGCAATACTTACCATGAAGTTCTTTTCTTTGAGATAATTAAATGCTGCAAATATGTCATGCTCTGAATAAAGCTGTAGAGTTGCTACTAAAGAGCTTTGCACTTCAGTTATTGCAGATGTACTAAGAAAGACAAGCTTAAGGAGCTCAACAGCGTTGGCAACTGCTAATGATTCATACACCTTCCTTTTCATGAAAATGTATCGACTATTCCAAATTTTCACAAGATTCCTGCGAGAATGATGGGACCTCAACCTGCTTGGCCTAGTGGAAAGAACATTCACTTTTTTGTGTCTCGAAATGCGCTTCTGAGATTCATTTCCGCCACATTCTGAAATGATATTTTGGTCCTTCAATGCAGGCTGAGACTAAAAAAGTAAGTTTACTAGTCAGTTAAAAGCTTTGCTTCAAAAACTATGTTTAAAGCCAAATATCATTAATAACATACAAATTCCTGGATATCTGAAGTTTTGCCATCAATCGGAGGAATATCTGGCCACTCTTTTCCTTGTCTGGTTCCTAGTCTCTTAGCATACTGAAATGTTGCTGATCTTTTGCACCGAAGAACTTCATCAACAGCAATCCTTACATCTGGATCTTCAAAGTTGTCCCAGAAATATTGCTGGCAATTCAACTCAGAAATACTTTCATCATGGGTAAGAGACAAATTTTGAGTAGTAACAGGTTCCTTCATTATGCGTATTTTTTCCAGGTATGTAGCATACCGTTCCCCAAGGAGATTACACAATCTCATTATTGATCTTCTGATATGAATATTAGCATTCAAGACAGCCATTCTTCTAGCACAAGTTGAAGGAAGTGCTGGAAGATCAGAAAGTGAGGTCCAATCAACTCGATAAAATCTTGCCCCAAGCATTGCACGATGTCTTGCATACTGCATCACTAGCCGTCTGTAGAAGCAACATGCCAACAAGAAAAGCATAACGGCTTGTAATTAAAACAAAACCCATCAAGCATTCAGAAAATAAAAATATATATTTATTAGAAATATTTTAAATACAGGTTCAACACTGATTTCAACAGCCTGTCAGATTGATGCAATACTGAGACGTCAAACAGTACACTGACATACACCACCTGGTATCACTAGAAAAAGCAGTGTACTGAGCCATGCCAGTACCAACTTGTATGGTCTGTTGCCAATATTTGGCCAGACCATTAAAAATATCAATCTCAATTTATATTGCCCCGACAAGCATTTTAAGCTATGCTAAAACAAAATACAAATAAAGTTTTAGCAGATCCTACCTATAACAAGTTGACTAATATACCTGTCCAATGTATCAGTCCAGAAGAACCGTTTAGCACGCATGGGTTTTTGCCTTGGAAATGCACAATTGATAAAAGCACTATTTCTACCATCTTCCACATGCATATCAGAATCGCTAGCATGCTTAATGTTATCATGATCTCCTGTAGGAAGTAAGTTTGTTTCCGTGCTTTGATCATCAACACCAATTGAGTGGCATATCTTTGGTTTACCAGTTCTTAAGGATTCATTCTGTTCAAGATCATATTTTGGAGACCCATCTTTAGAAGATCTCTTCCTCTTGCTATTAAATGGTCTACAATTATCTCCATCAATACGGTTGTCCTGCTCACTGGACTTTGAGCTGCTAGAATACCTGTAAAGACGGTATTGCCGCTTGTCGTATGAAACACGAAGTACCTACGAAAAATGAAGTTCTATATGGATTAAAATCTAGACAAACAATTTCATGATCAGCTGGTGTATAGAAGTGCCAACATGGTTAAGAACCAAACAATTGCCCTATAAAATGCAGGTCAAACCAATAATCTCATATTCGCCATATGCCTTGTGAAGCAACTTGAGAAATAAAATAACCCAACTCATGGTTTTTTCCGAAACTGTATATTACAGCTAAAATGATGAATGACAAGGTATCTTCAGAAAGAATGAGCCTTGGCCAATGATGAATGTAGTAACCTGTATCATAAATGCAAATCCTAATGCTAACCAGCTAGTAAGTAGATCACTTGGGACCAGTTTGCTTCAAGTTGGAAGTTCACAGTAGAGCACCTCGATAGATGAGACTCTCACTCATGCAAGATCTATGGAGAATCAATATATGTAACTTACCCCATGACAAGAGGTTTTGTTTCCATGACTAAAACACTAGACATTCAAATTGCAAAAGAGCAACCTAACAGAACACCAATGCTCAAGAGTCTGGAATCTGGATATACTTGATAATCTTAGTTAGCTTCATTAAAAAACAAGGCCTGAGAGTCTCGATATAATTAATCACCTTGGTTAACATCAAGAAAATTTTAATATGGAAAAATAAGATAGATTTCTTTACCCTCACCCAAAGAAAAAGAAACAAATCCATATGCACAACGCATTTTAGAAGATGCTTTGCTGGATTGTTGACCCATTTGATCCAAATTGGAATGGCCACCTGATCCAAAAACAACTGAATTTTCTTTTCAAAGGATGTATATATTTGGCTTTTGATCCCACCTAACCATCCTATCTAATTTCCAGCCAGTCTTGAGAGTCCAGCAAATTTCCATTCAATCAAGCCAACTTTTTGTATTAAATCCAACTTCCAGCAAATTTCCTCAATCGCTCTTCCCTCTGTTCCCCTCTTCCCTGGTCACCGCTGCCCTCCTACCATCCTACAATCCTCGCTCTTCCCTCATTTTTGATGTGTCAAATTTAGAGTATTTGGAATTGTTTCTTTGGATGTTTTTATGCTTGAGTTTTGGATTTTTTTCAGTGAAATTTCTAGAGGTTACGTTTTCTACCCAATCAATAGTAATCAGTTTGGAATTTGGTTTTACAAGAATTTGATATGCATGCAATGAGTGTTTATTACTTATTGTTAATTGGGTGGAAAGCTTTTAGTGGAAATAGCATTTGAGCATTCCCACATAAAGTGGGTCTGTGTATTAGTTTGTATGAATTCATTGGACACCTGATGTTGTTCCAACAGCATTAGGAGGTACTGGACATGCACAAGATACAAGTTTGTGCATGACCGCATGTAAAGTTGCACATCATTGTGCACTGGATCAGTTGAGAACAGCAGCTGCCTGCTATAGTGAACAGTAGCTGCCTGCTCTAGTGAACAGCAGCTGCCTTCTTTGCTGTAGTGAATCAGTAAAATGTCGATTATTATTGCTATTGCTGTAGTGAAATTTGCACATTTTATTTTATTGTCATGTCAGTTATTGGATATGGGCAATGTAGTTTGATACTTTAAATGAATCAAAGTTTGATGTGTTATTTTAGTTTTAGTTTATTTTTATTAATCATGATATATAATTTTTAAATTATAACATTCGGGAGTGTCACGTTTTGCTCGGGTGAGCACCTAGTGCCTCAGGCATTTTGGGACCATGGTGCATAACAGTTTTGACTACACTAAAATGTACATAATTTGGTATCTTGGTAGTAATTATCTAGTATATATAACAATGTAACTCATGTTTTGATTGAAAATTTTGCTTTAATGATTGTCTTAATCCGTAAATAAACTTTTATCAGTTTTGTAAGATAAGTTTCCTGCTTGTTCAGACAAGCAACTAACACTAGATGTTAAAGGATCTTAGTGCCTTATACCACCTAATACAGTTAGCAACATGGGAATAAACACCAAGATCCATATCCTTACAAGTCCAACTAAAATTGATTAAGGATTACAAATAAAACTTTTTGTATCATGACTTCTAGGTAAAGACAAAAAAATAATGATAAGCAGGTTTTATATTTCTCCATCATACTGTCCCGTATACTCATGAGCAATAATCTCTAAATCATATTAAGAAACATTTACCATCATCCATAGAGCCTGTTTGTAGCATAAAAATGAAATGCCCTATGTAGCACCAATGCAGAAATAGCAGCCCTTGAAAATTAAGAAAAATAATTTTTCAAATTTTTTAATGTGCATTTATAACTTAACAGTAACATAATCACCATTTCCATCCATCAATTATAAGATTTAGATGACAAATTAAATGAAGCTGAAATAAATGCTGACCTGTTCAACTGTAAGGTCTAACTCCCTTGCAATCCTTATACAATCTTTAAACGATATTTTTTTCCTTGGGTCAGCATCGTTCACACGCTTCAAAAGCTCTATTCTTTGTTCAGTGTTCATCACTCGAACTGAAGTCCATGAACGAGTATGAAAAACCTAACACACCACATAGTCATTACTTCAAACTGTTGAAAAAAATCGTGCTGTAAATTTAGAAAATTGGAAGAGTTAAGATTGTGAATTGCAATTATAATGGATCATGTCCAATATATTTTAACAGTGTGTATAAATACAAGATTGTGAACTGCAATTATAATGGATCATGTCCAATATATTTTCAGAGTGTATAGGTACAAGAAGGGAATTTCTATAGCACGATCATCATTTTCTACTATGCATACTTAAATGTACTCAAGGAAGATGATTTAAGTCCTAGAGGAATGTTACTATACATATTGTCCTCCCCCATGGTGTAGGGTTGGACACGTAACAGGGATGTCAAACTGTTGTTATGTCTGTAATTAAAAAATATATAGCAAACAAGTATTTCACGATGCACATGGAAGTATACCATGACATTTCAAGTGTATGCATTAAAATAAATTGTTTAATAGGTAACAGATAGCAGAATGCAGAACCAATTGATTTTGAGTTTCAAGCATTTAAAACAACATTTTCATTCTGAATGTGACATTTTTAATTTTGGGCACCATCTTTATGCTCATAACTAATCAGTAAGTTCCTGCAAAGTAATGAAGGATATTTACACCAAAAAAAGCAGAAAATGAGTTTAGAAGAAAATATACATCGCAAACAGAAGAACCAGGAAATGCACATGAAGCTGCTACTTGATCAGCTGCTGCATAGCAATACTCCAATGTTTCCCAATATACATCAACGGCCTCTGGCTTTAAAAGAAGAAAATCATGTCGGATTCTAGGACGAAGGTCAACCTTGAAATGTGAAGGCGTTATTGTTCGTGTCATTGGTTCTTCAATATATGGTTTCAGTTCCATGGCATATGTAAGAACAGCATGTGATAGCCCATTGTCATCTTCAGCAGTTCCTTCTTTCACTACTCGTATCAACTAGAAATATGTGAACAAACCATGTTAGCCTTCACCTATATCTGCTTCAATAATATTATAAAAAAATAAAAATAACTAAAGAAACTAGTTGCCCAGCATCCTTTGGAATTTGGCAACTCTTGCAAGGCTAAAAGGTATTTCTGCAGCTAGGTGAGAATGAGAGTATATATGGTGTCATAAACTGCAAGAAAAGAAGTTTCGCACAAGCAAGAAACAGATTTGACTGCAGAAGTCTTTGAAAATGTCCTTTTTAATAATTCAGCTGAAAAAATTTGTAATAACCATATACCTGAGGTCCAATCAAATCAAACACTATGGTAAATCTCATATAACATGGAAGCACACAAGAAATGAAGCCAAACAACAAGGCAAAGAATTCATACACCCTGGGTTACACACCATTGAACTGGTAAAGTGTTTCTATACATAATGGATGGTGGATACAGAAACGGTTAAGAAAAGCTACTATATATAACAAAAGACAGAATAGTACTCTGAGTTCTCCATTGGTCATTGATTAGTGTATCCGACAAAGCAAAGCATGTGATAGGCAAATATAAAAGATATAAGATAAGAGAAAAGATTATAAAAAAAGAACGCACAGACAGAAGTAACCATGGTCAAAGAAATAATCATTCATCAAATATGATAAACTGCAACTGTTGTGTGGTAATTTATTTAAATACCTACAAACAAATCATAAACAAATGAAAGAAATTGCAACAAAAGAACCATTCTTAGAGGACTCATAATGCTACATAATAAAAAAAATAGGACCTCTACAACTCACCAAACACAGTTCCTAACAACTATAGTATTCCCGATGGAACAGATCATAACATACCATGCAGAGAGACATTGTTAGCATGAGTCATATGTCAAACCATACCAGAGGTACTGACATATGACTAAGCCATTTTTGGTTTATGCCAATCAATGGGGGAGCATGCAGACCAGCACAAAACATGAGATATTAGAACTGCATCAGTATGTCCCTGTGCCATGATCTGGCAATCTCTGCACCTAAACAGTATCCCCATGCCATGAGCTGGAAATCTCTGCTCCTAAAAGCCACACACGTTTCTTAACTCATATAATACCTAGAATAAAACTAGAACAATATTCAAATTAAGACTCTAGAAACACAACAAAATAAGGACTATTAACAATGACACAAGGACATATATTTCAACCAAATGTTACCTGGACCCTAGTTGTGAATCAATCCTAACTTGAACAAGTCTTATGTTGCATCAAATAGGAGTTTACTACCATTTGTGTCAGATTTCAGGAAAAGAGGTGTGAGAAATCATAATTTTCTAAATTCAAAGCACCAAAACATTATGTAATGGATAACATAAATTTCTGCATACAAATTAAGCACTGGGAATAAATTAACAAGTCCTTGTTGGTGTTTCAAAGTAGAGAATTAAGCACAACTTATCAAGCAAACTAAAAATTTCAGGTTATATCTGTCTCCTGTAGTCCTAGGAACAAGATAATTACCTTCATTCGAACCAGAATATTAATTATATTTGAGAGTCGACATGTCGCTCTAGAGTCAAACAAGCTCTTGTACTCAGAAATAGATACATCAGAGAGCCTTAAGCCAAGTTTACAACGCTCGACCATATTTTCAATCTCCTTTGGAGAACCTACAACTTGCAAGAACAGTTCAAGCGGCATTGTTTTTATAGCTTCATCAAGTGCAAATAATTGGCATGTGCTGGGACTCTTCAGGTCATAGCTGCATTGATTAGAATTAACAGCACCATGCCAACTAGGCAAATTGCTGACATAACTCCACAGAAATCTATGCAAAAGCCTGGCGCGGACCATCCTAGCAGATGCAAAACCATTAGCACGCATAGCCTCAAGCAGAACAGGTTTGTCATCCACATGCTTTGATGTCATTCCCAAACTTGTTAAATTGTGCACAGGTTGTCCAGTCCTTGATCGAGCTGATGCTTGTCCACGAATTCGACCATCAAACTCTCTCTGTCTTCTGTAGATTTTGTCTAAAAGTTCTGGTGACAAGTTGTCGACAGAAGGATGCAAAATCACATCAGTTATGCGATGGCGATTAAAATTTGTCACCACAGGGAAGCTAACCTGGATACATTTGCATAAGCCCTCCTTTTGCAGCTTATTCAGTGTACTAGTTAAAGTTCTCCTGCCCATTTTTGTGTTCTTACCCTTCTCGAGTTCCTCTAGCCACCTATAGAGCTCAGCTGTCAAAATAAACTCCTCTTTCTGCAGGGATGAAGAGTAAGCATGTTAAAGAATACTGCCTACAACCATAATTTAGGAAACAAATTATCTTTATGATGTAGCAGAGATTAGACATGTTTTCTCATGTTATTCTTATAATTTTAGAAAAATATGACAAATAAATTATTAAAAGGAAATGTGCAACAAGGGCATTCTAAATGTTGAGTGGCAATCTATACATGTGCATGATACCACATAATAGGACCCTGAACTTGGATTTTGTTTGAAGCAACTATAGAGTATAGACTCAATTTCTTGTAGCAAAGACATAAAATGAAATGGCATTATTAAGCAAGAATGTTGGCCTGCCATCAGTGGAACAAAATTCACCAAGCAAATGCAACCTTCAATTTTTATTTATTTATTTATAATATGTTGCACTATTTTTCTAAATGAATAACAATATGTTAGCACTATTTATTTTATTTGTAGAAAATATGTTTTCCTTCAACCAATTCTATCTTTTCTTCTTATCCTGCAAAAATAAAATAGATACTGCACTATCTATTACTTTATTTAATGCTGCAATGCCAAGTTGTCCCTTGATCAATAACTATTGCCAAAGATACTCTTCCTCACAATCAAGCTTACAAGAGAGTTCAATTGATGCCAAACATACATGGATCCAGTGCTAAACGGTTAATATTTATTGTAATTAACAAAATGAGGAAACTGTAGTAGTGCTTTCCAGAAGTATCCCCTGTCTAGATGGCATCTAGTTAATGTTTATTGTACTTATCAAAATGGGTAAGTGTATTTGTGCTTTTCAGAAGTATCCTGTCAATATATATTGCATCTATGTTAGTCACTCATGTCCAGAACAACTCCAGATGGAACCCATCATAAGGCTGCAAAAGGGTTTCACGGCTAGTAAGAGACGGTGTCCATATTGATGTGCAATGCTTGTGAATCAATGGAGGTCTCAATAAATGAGCAAAAATCCACATCTGCAATTTTAAGTGGCAATGGGTCCAGGGAAATGGCCACTCTTAATTTGTGTTGAAGCCTCAATTGTTCAGCCCATTAGTTTGCCAAACCCCACACTGCCGGGAGCCCTTGACACTAGGCTTTCCTTTTTTCTTCTGCTATATAATGAGAAAGAGTGGCATTATGGTGAAACATGTCTACGCCACTGCTACAGCACACTTTCACATGCCTAGAATTAATGCAATTAAAGTTCTTAGAACCTGCATTTTAGCAAGTAATTAAATGCAAAACAAGATGTGGATCTCATCCAATTACGTGAAAACAATGATAAGATACCCAGGGTTTGTCAAAGATCTGATGCTAATCTATATAGTGAGCCATTACCATCACATACTGATGGACTCCCACAAGGGTGATCAAAATTTGCTATTAAAGTGAAAAAGAATAACTATTACTGTCAGGTAGGCCTTGTACAAGCACTGGTCAAGCATATACCCTAAAAAATATAATGACATTTAACAATCCTCATTCTGTGCTATGGTCACATTTGCAACTAAGATAAGTACATATTTACAGAGCAGAACCCTAGACCGCTCCTGTGATGAGCCCACCTTGACTGGCCCAAGACAAGGGCCTTTTGGTTGAATTATCTATTTTTTATGTATTTCACCATATATTAAGTTCTTATTTAAGGTCAATTTTAGACTCATATATCAGGTTATATTCTTATATATAAATCCTATTCTGGTCATAGATAGATTTTAGACTTTGGAGTTTGGAGCATTCCTGAACCATTAAAAGTTGCATTTAGAGAATTTTAGACATATCCTTCAATATGATTTCAGTTTTCCTAAACAGGAAATTTCTCTCCCTAGTTCTGTTGGCTGGTTTATTGTGTATATGGCATATTGTAAGTCTTCTCTCTTGATATTGGTTGTTTCATTATTACAACAGATCTATAAATTCTCTCTCTTTTAACCTTGGTTGAAAGTTTCATCCAATTACAGGATACCTTGATAGGGACACGTCTTATCAAAATGTGATGTATTTCTAAAGGAAGCACAACTCAAGAACCTTCGTGTCCTTACAGAGCATGTAATAAATTTGGTGACATATACAACATAAATGAATGTACGGATGAAGAAAATTCATTGTAAAATGAATAGAAGCCAAGATGAAAATAGGATCCCTGTATAGTAGATATGAAATTAATATGATAACCCTAAACTCCATCTTCTCCAATGTTATAAGCTTATAAAAGCATACAGCAGGCTTGTAGCAGATGTCACTGGGCTGTAAGGTATTTTGAACACAAAGAGGACAACTAATAAATCATCAAAATTTATCTATTAGAAAATCATATTGTATACTGAGCAGAGAACCAAACACCCAATGTTCATATATAGTTTACAACAATTTTTTAAGTAAAGTGGTCAACTGGTCATGATATACAATATCAAATATCCAATAATATGATCATCCACAATTGTAATATGATTTTACCCACAATTATCATCATCAAAAAAATGAGAACTATGAAACCAGTGCCTATACATTTTGTGGGAACAATAGCAAAAAATAATAAATGTGCATTAAATAATAATGATCTCAATCAACATATTCTCAAATGATGAATTTAAACTTAGAGAAAAAGTGTGATTAAACATCATTAATGTGGACAGGTCAAAATCTATTAGACCAGAGGATTTAGCTTAAATTAAACAGTTTTCATTAGTTAACATGGACATCGATCAAAAGGGCATATAGGCCCATTGCTTAATAGCCAACAACTGGCTAGATGCAGCATATATAAGGAGACTACAACTGCAGTTTACAAAGAACAATATGACAGCATGGTGAAAATGCAACTAAATATAGTACCAAGTTGAAGTTCCTAAAAGATATCAAGGTTAATGTATAATATCATCTCGTATAGGTCAAGGTACCCCTTTAAAAGATGGCGGGATGAAAACCTAGCAGTGGACCAGTGATATGTCCGCAAAATAGAAAACAAAGATGTTATTTCCACCAGCAAGACCATTATTTACAAGTGACATGCACTGAAGCAGGTGGCACATACCCTTATGAGCTAAGAACCCTTTGTTTCACCAAAAGTGGATGTGTCAACTGTCAAGTAGACATCAATTGGCTTGACTTAAGTTTCAAGAAGTTAGCAACACTTTAAAGTGTGTACTTATTGCACTGATGTGATTTTGTGATGGTACCTAAAAAATTTTACAAATATGAAGTTAATCTAACATAACTCAGACCAGCTAGGCTTATCCTCGTGCTTGCTTGACCACCTTGAGGTGTTCGACAGAAGCCTAAACTCGATCAGTTTTACAACATTAAATTTGCTAGTTATATACTTAATAACTCCAAACTAATATAGTCCAAACTTGTCAAACCAAACTGACCTTAAATTTTCTTCCCTACCAATGCCACAACAAACAACAAAAGCTCTATTGAATTTCAAAGCCAAGAACTTGACTTTGGAAAAAACAATCACCTTCAAGTAACTTAAGCTCAAATGAACTTTTATGAGAACATATTCCAAGACCATTTTAAACCTTGTCTCATGGTAGAACATGGTCTCTAAAACACAATAGTTACTACCAAATACCCCTATGAACTCATTATACCTATTATACACCACAGAGCTCCTTTCATAAAGTTACATGCAGGAAGATAGGATTCCCATATTTCAAGCCTTTCCAATACTTTTTTTAGTTTTTGCATCTGAATACCATCATCTCATGCATCTCGTCATGGATTATAACATATCCCCATTATTTCCATGAATAAATCATGCATACACAACAGCGGTTCAATGTTTGTCACCATAAAGGGTATTTACTTTAAGAACAATTCTGAGCAAAATAGAATTATATTTTTACTCTGATAAATAAGAAAAGGAAAAAATAAGATTAAGTTGGATGATCATAAGTAAGTTTAAACTGACTGGTAATTTAATTATGCTAAACACAAATATAGGCATCAAGAGGGAACTCAAAAGAAATTAAATAAAAAATTATGGAGAATGATAATTTATAACCTTCAGCTTCTTTACTATTCTTTCTTCCCTCCTAGTTCTATTTGAAGTCGACAATTGGTGATGCCGTTTCACAGCTTTAACTTCGGGCGAAACCGATGAAACAAAACGGCTTTCTTCCCATTGGCAAGCATTCTGTTTCAGCATTATCTCCACAATTGCAGGTTTTGAATCATAAGATACACTTGGAAGTTCAGTGGCATTATTTTGCTGGTCCCCTCTGCATTTGATCTCTTGTGCATCTCGATCATGTTCAGGAGGCATGCCAGAAGGTGCCAATCCAACTGCACAATCTGTTTTCTCTATGGATGAAAGCTCATCAGTGGAGCACGAATTTATCGACTGGAGCTCGAGCAATGTTAAATTTTTTGATTGAAACAAAAGCTCATTTGTACCTTGAAGTGCTTCATGCTTGCCAGGAAAAGTGTTGATTGCGTGATGTGGGTAATTTCTGAATGTCCACATTCGATAAAGTGGCGTTTTCTCATGAATTTCAGCCTGCCAACACATCCTAAACCTCTCACGCATTGAACTAATCCGGCTGTATAGCTTTTTAGGGGTGAACCCAAGTCGTCTGCAAACCTGATTGCAAGTCACAACATTTAATAAAAACACAATTCTCTTGAATAATAAAATAAATAGAATTGAGAAGCTTGCATTAAAGAACTAATTGCTCTATTCTTAAAGAAGATAAAATGACCATTACCTATCCTATCTCAATACTGGTGAGTCAGGATAAATGAATAGATCAAAATTGACTTCTCAATTAAGTAATGAACTATCTATTGTGTAAATTAATACAACTTCAGCCATAATATAGGAAATTAACAGTGTAGCAAACTCCACAGAAATTTACTTGCAGGGACAAGTCAAAGCATGAAATTTTGCACAAGCTGATCACACAATAACCAAGATATAATGTCCACAAATTAGAGTTTGTAAAAACTAAAAAGACCATGATCAGAAACATGGGCATCAAGTAGATACAGTGATGTGATTACAGAAATGCATGACACAGCATAAAAGTAGTAAGGTGAGAACTAAACATCAAAACATAAAAAAATATAGATAACTTGTCAGTAATCATATGGTTGCACCAAATGTTTGAGTCCTTATTTGCACAAGTCATGAATGAACCTAACAACCAAATTCATTTCTCAAGATGATGTTTCTATTATAAGATGGCATCCCATGTTTCTTGTTTGAAGACCAGTCTAAAGGAGAAGGTATATTCTTTTATTTAATTTTTAAATCATTTTAGAGACTTAGAACAGTCTTCTACATATATTATAAGTTGCAGCAAGAAAACATTTTCCACATTTCTAATTACTTATCCATATTCTTAAGAAAGGACGGGCTTGATTAAAGATTCCAAACAAGGATAAAAATCTTGAGCCTGATTGGAGGATCCATTACCACAAGGAAGCTTAATTATCATCAAAGAAAAGGAAGACTATCAACCAAACATCTTATCAAAAAGAGAGTGTATTTGTCAAAACAAATTTGAAAAATATATACCCCCAAAAAAAGAAAGAAGAAATGATTAATATTCCTTGATTTACAGAATGCATTTTTCTTGATCATATAATTTCCATATTTTTGTAGTCTTCTTTTTGTTCGCATACTGTGTGTGCAAAAGAAGAAAGGGGATGTAACCAATAACCCAATAATGTCCATGTGTGATATGAAGCCACATCTGTAGGAATGATTTTTTAAGCCAAAGCAAGTCTAGTACTTATCCTTCGTTGGTGTGATAATATCGTTTACGCATGAGGCATGTCTAATAAAACGATAGGATCCCTAAGCATGATGCCTAGGAACCAGAGCAAATGTGATATCATCCTCACTCCCTCTATATTTTATCATTTATTTTTCACTATTATTATCTCTCTATTCTTTCTCATTTCCTTTCCCTATTCTTAAATCCAAAATTCTTGTCTTCATTTGTTTGTCATGTGTCATATTTAACATATGAGCATCTATCCAAAATTAGGTTTGGCCCAAAAGGCTCATTTGTGTCATAACAATTTTTCTACTAATAGACCCAAACCTTCATTTGTGGCTTCTGCATTCTGTCATGTCCAACATGTCTCTTTCAGTGTCCCCAAATGACCTAGTAGCCCTCCTCACTTTGCCTACCTAATTGGTCGAACCATAGACCGAATTAGGCACTGGTAGAGTAGGCATAAGACGCTTTTCTGATCCAGAAAAAGGCTCTTCAAGTCTCTTCCCAATTAGCAAGGAGACAAGGAGGACCATAGTTCAAAAGTCGATACTGAACCCTATACTTGTTGTTGGCCAGATCCGCACTAGTCTATCAGAATATCATGACACAATACACCAGCATTTCGTTCAGCACCATGAAGGAGGGAGAAAGAGGAGGACAAAGAGAGGAGGAGGAGGAGGACAAGGAGATCCAGTGTAGGGGGACGAGGATAAGGAGAGCTGAATAGCAGGTGGAAGATGCGGAGGAGAAGAGGAGGAGAAATAGAACAGAAGAGGAGCAGGAGAAAAGAAGAGAAGAGAAGTACCAGCGGGTCAGCGGGCAAGCCGATAGCCAAAGGTGACACGAGGTGTGACGAGAGAGAGAGAGAGAGAGATGAGATTAGTGCACTGCAAGACTTTTTTCTGTGGAAGTGCATTAAAAAATCCTAAGCCCCACTGACCTTGAAAAAAAATACAAGACTTTTGTCCACATGACGATTCAAGCCTGAACCGATAAACTCAGCCAAGTATGTCTTAATCCAGGCAAAATTTAAAACCATATTGGGAACCATTGCTAGCCGCAAAGTTCCTGAATTACATTTATTCATTTGGATAGCCCAAAAGGACTATAATCCTCAACATACAAGGAAGTGACTCAGATTGAGTAAACAGTACATGAGGCCAACAAAAGTAGTATAACCAGAACTCATGAAATTATAGTAGAAAACTAGAATAAAGTTGGAAAGGTAAGAGAAAAGGCCTGCTGAATGTTGATGAGTACCTCAGAAATCGTTAATCCTTTTTGTCCTTCGGAATCAACCATATCATATATGCGATGCTCTAAAGGAAGCTCAACAAACTGATCGGTAATATGACCCCTTTTTCCAATTTTTATCAAATTTTCATTATCAAAGTTATCATGTGAATGCATTCCTTTTTTGGGCTGGAAATCTCTCGAATCAAATTTCTTTAGTAACCTTAAACAACTGACAACCTGCAATAAATGAAAGAAAACCACAAGAGTCTGCATTCATGACAACTTAAAGCATCCAATAAACTGAAAGCATAAAAAGATAAATTATTGCAGAAACTTTGACAGAAGAAAAATATTTCATGATGCAAAAAATGAGATATGAGCTACAAAATGGAGCACTGATGGTTTTAGAAGTTGGCAAAAAGATTTTATCCTGTGTCCTTTACAACTTCTCCTGAACTTCTTTGCCAACACAAGTTTAAGCTCTTTCTCTTCCAGGAGTGTTTCAGACCATTGATAATTACAGATTTAAAACTGCTGCAATAATCACAAATTTCATTGGACTTCTTCCACAATCATAATTGTGCAGTTCAATAATCCAACCATTAAAACATATGATACTTCCAACCAAGAACAAAAATCTTGATCCAACAACATACCACACGGCCAGCAAAAGAGAGAGTGAAACGACGAGGAGGCAGTGAAGGAAAAAAGAGATGGAAGACGGAGGAGGAACAACACCATGCAGCAAAGTAGATACCGTGACATGAACAAGCAATGGAGGAGGGACAGCAGTGGTGCCGGAAAGGATGATGCAATGCTGCAGTCCAACGGAGAGGAGTAGAAACATGGCAATGAAGAGGTGTAATTGGCACCAATTGCAGACCAAACAGGTGTACTTGCAACCAATTCACCATTGCACCTGTAAGAATCGGACTGTACAAACTGGTATGGTCAGTTGATAAAACCTTGCTTTCAAGTTTCGGCCCTTTTTTTTTTTCATAAGTTCAGGTTCATGCATGAATTTAAGGTAACCATGTAAAAGTTCAAAAACAAAAATGTGAGAATTTATATCTAAACACTTCTAAAGATCCTCACATGTTACCCGACTCATTAAGTACTACATATGTCTAGACATGCCCCACAGGCCCACACTGTGTATCGTGCAGATGTGGTACCCAGCAGACCAGCACTATAAAAATCCTGCTAGTTTACTCTTCCCTCATTCCCTTAAAATTTGAAGAAAAAGAAAACTAACTTTAGAGATCACATGTCTGCATGAACTCTTCCTTTTGTGTCAAGGCCTGTAATTCAAAAAAGATGTTTGCTTCTAAGTTCTGGATATTATGATCTCTTAGTTGAAAGTTATGCTCCATAACTTTTGGTACATTGTGAACCAACATAAATTTAATATATACCAGCAAGCAGCAAGAATGCAAACAATCAAAATTTTGGAATCCCATCAGCACAATCATTTTCACAAGGAACAAAATGAAAACATCGCATAAAGAGTAGAACAGCTCATTAAATGTGAAAAATTGTGGGCAAGGTTTAAAATTATGGTTCAGTGCTGATACTGGTCAGCAACTAGATGGGTATGGTTTCCTTAGAAGTGCAAGCAGAAGAACAACAGCAGAAATTCCAACAGTAAATGATTTATAATAGAAGTTTCATCTGTGCGTGCATAAGAGAAATCTAATAGCGGAAGAAACACGAGAATGTCAGCATAAGGTATAGGATAAGATGTTGTGACTCTCTAATTATTGATAAACATATGAGAAATACAAGCAAAGTTGCAGTGACAGAGTCCCCAACAAAAATTATTCAGAAAAGAAGGTTGATCTGTGTGTGCAATAAGAGATATCCAATAGCATAAGAGAGAGCAAGAATGCCAGCATACAGCATTAAAGGCAATAAAGTGTTGCAATTAGTCAAAGGTATATCCAGTTAGGGCTATTTATAGATTATCTCCTATAGTTAGCTATGTTTAGTATCACGGTTCCTACCATTTAAAAAGTTATATTAGCATCCCTATACTTACGAAAGTGAAACATTTAACCTCGTTTCTCCTCACACCGTCGATTCTACTAATGGAAGAAACCGCACATGTTGTCACGTGCAAAAATGATGCAAAAAAAAAGGATAAAAGGTCATTTCGATCCTCATAATCCAAAGATATTAATTTCATAGAAGGGTCACTTATGTGAAAGCTTAGCTATCCTCTCAGATGACCTACCCAATGACTGTCGGTGGTGATCCTCATCTCCTGAAGTGTCTCATTTCTCCTACTTCGCTATCCTCCCAAACGGCCTACCCAACCACGGTATCGATGGCAATCCTCATCTCTTGCATCGTCTCATTTCTCCTACTTTGCTATCCTACCCAATGCTTTCGGCTTCACGCAAGACCGATGGCTCTCTGCCAATGGTGAGGATCAAAATTATCTTTTTATCTCTTTTTTAGCATCATTTTTGCACGTGACAACACATGTGGTATCTTCGGTCAGTAAAGTCAACAGCGTAGGAGAAACTGGTTTAAATGTTTTACTTAATTATAAGAATATCAATGTAACTTTTCAAAGTGTAGGGACCGGACCACTAAACATAACTAACCACAGGGGGTAATCTGTAATTACAATTCTTACACTTACCCTCTTGTTCACCTCTGCTTGAAATTCTTCCACAAGATGAGCATCCTTCAGCCTTTGCAAGATCTGTAAATGCATATTATAACAATATCACCAAAATAAAAGTGAAATCTGTTAGAGATCTAAAAGAACTATACCCATATCAAACTCAAATAATTGGTCTAGCTCAGTAAACAGCTTACATTTCTCCATGCTCTATGGCCAGTGGTCTTTCTATAGCCAAGAGACATTTTAATATCTGATACAACTGAAACCTGAAAAGAAAAACAACCATAAATAATCAGCAATATGTTAAGTTACATTATTTGAACACATCAATGTACATATGTGCAAACATAGGTTGACCTTCCCACTTGCTTCTTCAAGTTTATCACAAATAGCTTTCATTTCAGGTAGGTAATCTTTTATTGAAACATCATCCTTGGCAAAATCACCAGAAATTTCATCACCATTTACAGAAATCCCATCAACGGTCACACCTTCTAATATGTCTGCCCTTGTAATCTCAAATCTCTGTTGTGAATTTAAATTTAAGTTTTTTGCATAACGGTGTAAATGTAGTAAATTGGTAGACACAACAGAATTATTTTTTGCTGCATTCTCCCATTCAGTTCCTGAATCTTTTGCCCTTACAATAGTTGATTGTCGCACAATCAGATGCTGGGATTCAAGGTGTTTCACTATGTAAAACAAATTATTTCCCTTGATGCGAAATTCTTTACCAAGTTCACTCTGAGTGACTCCATTAGTTCTGCAAACATATAAGATGTATTTCAGAGATTTTTTAAACAAAAAATTTAAGCACATATATAGTGGGAAGATTTTATTTTTGTGATTGCCGATAGAAATACCGATGCATAGTTTCAAAAGAAAACAAAACATAAAAGAACATATAGGGAGATTCAAGAGTTTTGCAACAAGCAATAAAACCTTGGTTCCATCACAGAAGCAAGTAGAAGAAACCAATGACCACAGTACCATGCCGACCAGTGGTATCGGTCCATGGGCAGACCGACATACGAGTCAATACTGGCGTATGACATGTCAATATGCTGGTACATACCAGTTTTCAGAAAAAGGTTGAAAAATGATCGAAAATTCATAAAAATTCTTTTCTAGATTTTTATCCTAATTTAATGATAATTTTATTGTATTTAATTAAGAAAATAGTGTACATAAGGCATATTTATAAATGCATAAGGCTGGCCGTGATTAACCCTAAAAACCCTCAATTTGGTCCTAAATGTAAGACAATAGATACCTTCAAATTGGAATAAATTCCACTAGATATTGAGTTCCAACCCCTCTTTTATCCAAATCAACATTTTGATTACCACTAATCACCAATTAGGAACTTCAATCACAAGCAAGTGTGAGAAATAATGAGAAAGAAAGTAAGTGAAAGAGGGGGGGAGGTGAGAATTTAAAGACCAAAAGACGCCCCAGTGGTCAATTTGACCGTTGGGGCCAAACTTAAGCCGACATGGGTTGGTATTGGTCAAATTCCAACTGAAACTGACCCATAACGGCCAATACAGCTGATACAGCATGAGTTTCGACCGTATCAGCCGATACATTACCCATACCAATCATTACCTAACCCTTTTCTGCATACTGCCCAAAATGGCATACCGGTCGGTCACGGACCAGTATGTACTGCACGTTTCGTACCGTTTCAAGCAGTACATCAAACCTTGAAAGAAACTACATATTCATTCAATAAAAACAGAGGTTCTACTTGGTTTTAGTTATAATAATTCTCAACGAAAAGCTTAGGTTATTTCTTAAAAATAGTGTGAAATCCTGTAAATTTAGGTGAGATTTGCATACGGATGCCTCTACAACGAACCTCTTCTATCCTAAAAGAACATTACTCAAAACCCAATGGAGTCAGGTTTGGATGATTTGAGCAACATCATTCATGTAAAAACCATTAAACAAACTCTGATTACATGAAAGTGGCAGGTCGAAGGAAAAAAAAAATTTCCATGTAAGACTCAAGATTTAAATACTAGCTAAAAACATCCCGAAAATTAATAACTTCTCTGGTCGCTGGCTATGCAAGTGGTCTTCAGTTACAGATGTGTGTGTTAAGTTATTGATTACAGAGAAGAAAATATAAACATCATATACTTTAAGCAACAATAGAACGCAAAGATCTCAGAGGGTCATAATGACAATGATCCTTGTCAATCATGTTATAAAGCAAAAGGCCACAGCAATATGTAGCATCCACTTAACAGCTACAAAATCAACTTTAAGGTCAGTTAGTCAGAAAGGTATATGATGAAATAGTTGCAACAGTTTTCCTGTTCCCATAACATAAGAGTTGGGTAAGAGTATCATGGCAAACTGCGTCATGCTGGTGCAACAGTTTTCCTGTTAGTCAGTCAAAATCAACTTTAAGGTCAGTTAGTCAGAAAGGTATATGATGAAATAGTTGCAACAGTTTTCCTGTTCCCATAACATAAGAGTTGGGTAAGAGTATCATGGCAAACTGCGTCATGCTGGTGCTGGCTATTTAATTCTATGATCAAGTCAATTTTCAGACTGTTCCCATCAATACATGGGCATGCCATCACCAACAGTTCGTGCTGGCAACCCACAGACACCCTTGTGCTGTCAATAACTTATCCAGAAACCAGTTTTCGATCCAACCATATAACAGAATCTGGAATCAGGTTCAAGAAAGTTTAGCATGTGAAAAAAAAAGGTTTTGAACAGAAAATTTATCTTTGGACGACCATCCAGGTTTTCTTCTCCCTCCTCATTTCCCCCACTTCCCATATCAAAAATTTATCTAACTGGCCTTGACCTGAGCATCGAAGGGACCAAATCGTGAACACCCCGACAGTGGACTTCTTTTTAAGATGAGGGCACGAGATCTGCCTCAGCTCTGAGGGCCATCATCAACAACTCTCTCCCTTTCCCCTTTTGTGAAGTGCTCATCGTGGACGGCTTCTATTGACTCCGGAACGAGGCCAAATCGGGTTGTCTCTGTAATTCAGATTGACGACCGGTCATGGGACCAACATATGGTGGTGGCAACATTGTTTTGAAAGCCGTGATATAGACAAGTAAAGGAAAGAGAGAGAACCTCAGTTCCATCTATTGCAAGCAACTGTGCATCCAAGTCAATTCTGAAAGCCACTTTTGATCTGAGTCGTTTAGCCTAAACCACACCTAAAGGATATGCTAGATGAAGAAAACAAACATTTTGAACTTGAATCCATGACTTGATGGAACAGCCATGAAATTTAGAATATAGGCGGCAATATTTTTAGCTTAGTATTTGTTTCAGCGTGAAAAATGTATGTCATCCACAGAAAGAGCCTAGAGTAAGTTGACATTTCTTGGGAGGTTGCTACAAAAAACCATAATAGTCTGCTACAGAACTGGAGCACAAGGATACTGCACGTCTATCTATTCAAGCACCAAGAACATATGCTCAAACTCCAATATAGAAAATTACTTCCATTAAAAATCAGTTTTTTAAAGTTTTGATAAAAGATTAACTGAGACTAGCATCTCCAAGAATTGCTATTTTCTTCAATGCTTTCACTTAAATTTCATGAAGATCTCCGACCAGTTCAAAGCTTTTGGTTGCACTATATAAGACATAAGCATGACATACTACAAAAGATTTTTTAAGGAAAAAAGGAAACTTTACTGATTAATAGTGAAAACGAGTGCAACCATAAAATGAAAGATTCAATAGCAGTTAGAATGCTCCTCGAGCCAGAATATAATCAGCAACGACTTTTTGTTCATAGATCACAGGGGCAAACCTCAGCAGAAGCAAGTCACCCCTCGTTTTCACATGAAACCATAACTTCAGCATAGATAATCGGACTCGTCAAAATAATACGCTTACAACTAAAAACCAAGTTAAATGCAACATCATAATTTAAATGCTTCGAGTAACGAAGCAAGCAATTATTTAGCTTGATTCTACAGGAAAAAGAATGAAAAGAACTGGCATGTATTAGAATCAGACTAAAAGATGGTGACCATTGAACCTGGCAGCGGCCAACCGCTCGAGAGCAGTCCTCTGAATCTGAGAAATATCCGAAGAGGAAGCTTTGAGATCATAAATCCCCAGGAAACTATCCCTAAGATGGTCCTCCGCGACGATCCTCACCCCAATCCGCTGCGCCTCCTCCAAGGACTGGATGGACGGGTCATGGGAGCCGAGAGGCGAACCATGGGCTTCGAATCGGAGCCCTGGGTGGGCGAGGAGACGAATCCATATAACCTTGTAAACGGCGTCGCAAGGGGGAAGACCGGCGTCGGAGAGGGCACCGCGGAGGCTCGGCCAGAGCTCGGCGACATGGATTCCGGCAGCCGCCCGAGCGCAGACCTCTTCAATCGCCACTAAGACGATGCAATCCATGGGTGGATGGCATGAGAGACTATGGCTTTCAGGAGCCGGTAAGAGCGAGGGAAATTTAGGGTTTCCTGTGTACGACTGCTCGAACGATGGTATCCGTTGAAGACGACTCCGAAAGGACCGAGGCCTGTTTTGTGGGAAAACGCCGTTCAGATTGGCTGAATCACACAGACCCCCACAAGCCACGTTACCCAGGTAGCACTACATGGTCGATTCGGTCAGCCTTTGGAGTGGTGTTCCATTATCCGCTCTTTGGAGGCCATCGGCAACAGATGAGACCGCCTATAAGTCTCCGGTAGATAAAAGAGATGCCCCGTGATCCAACGGTCCTCGTGGCTTGCATCCCTGGTGAAAGATTATTTTCCGACGTTTGAGGGGTCTTATTGCAATATATGTTGTGTTAGGAGGTGATACTTTTGGTGTATCCTGTAACGGGGTGTTGCATTATGTTGCACGTGGACGCCATCGTCCGTTGTCTCTTCTACGGTTAACGTTGCCCGGGTCGGTTCCGTCGATGAATCTGATCCGTCCATTGTCTCCTGGTGTAGCCCAGGTCGTTCCCTCGATGAATATTAGCCGTCCATCTTTCATCCGACGAGACTTTCCCTATCTAAGATGCGGTTTCCAAGCTACGTGCTTTTATATTTCTGATGTCCGGCCTGAGACACTTGGATTGGTTGATACAAGTCTACGTTTAGAGGTCCTTCCTTCGTTTGTGTATTGTCGTCTCATGTGATCGTCATGGGGAAATGATTAAATATTCTTTAAAAAAACGCATGGAAGTCGATCTTATATAGTTAATTTCAACCCAACTAAAATTTAGGTATGCTTTGTTGCGGAGAGATTTCTAAATCTACGTCCGAGTTCAATTCGATACAATCCGAAATCAAAAGCATAAGAATGATAACAATGGTGTTTTTCGAGATGGCTGCAACGAGAAAGTGTTAAGCTTCTGATGCACCACCTACACTAAGATCGATATCGGAAGAAATTTATTAATCTGATCTCTTTAATGCTCAAATTACTAATTAAGATCTTTAATGGATCAAGGTTATCATCGAGAAGAGTGCCCTTAATATAACGTGAAGGGATAGTTTTTATACCTAATCTTGAAAGGAATAATCTGTAACTATCCCAATATCTTTCTCTTAGCGTTTTGTTATCCCAATATCTCTTAGTCTTGATGAATGAGAAATATCTCCGAATGATCTACTTGAACTATTGTCCACAAGTGTAATGGGTGAAAGATGACATGTATCTTTTCCTTCTTTGATAATTTTCACGTGGTGATTATATACCGAACAATGATTGATCGTTAATATATTTTTTATCACTTTTATATTTGATTTTTTTTATTTAAATCCAATTAGAGGTGTTAAATCCGATTTAAGTGGAATTGTTGGACCAACATATAAAAGAATTCTACTCGCTCTCGTCCATTACTCGGAATAATAATGGATGAGATTTTTGAATCCTATTTGCTAAACAAATGTTTCAAGATTATCTATTTTTACTTATATTCATACTACGGTGCGATTGGAGGATGTCTGAATTAGTTTAAATGGAACAAATATATCTCATAGAAGATGATAGATACTATATTTTTGACGAGAGAAACATAAATAGAAATCATTGCTTGTGTATTTACGGATCTCACTCACTGCTTTATGACTACCAAGATATTCACCAATTATCATGCCAAGCATAATCCGAACATCAACAACAATGTGAACGATGACTCCCATCAATCCCCTGACTTGTGAAAAAGAATATACATCTAAGAAAATTTCCCATTTGTCAGACCTAAAACAAGCTCAAAATCCAAATATAAAATGCAAATATTTTAGTTGTTTAAAACTTCTGTTTTAAATAATGCCAATGCAATATGGATAAGGATAGTCGTCCAAATGCTGATACTATAATAACATTGGATAATTAAAGCATACAATGAGTCGCATATAATTATAGTTTAATAATTTAATACATGATTTCATGACTCATTGATTATCAAATAACTTTTGTAACTATTATCAGTATTAATCATGATCTTAACTCAGTAATCTATCTATCACGTTATAAATGACACAGAACCCACACATATTCTTTAACTTTGATTATTTTATTGAATCATCCAAATCTCTAATTAATTTATGCATCAGAAATATTTTATCGCGTGCGTTCTAATATAGTCATTATAGAATCTTTGTCCGAATATATGACTTCTTGATACATTAACTTGGATTGGAAGTGAATCCCAATTGACTTTAGATATTTTAAGTGACTTAATAGATCGTATAATATGTCAATGAACTTTTATGCCTTTATAACATGGATATAGATTGAAATCATAATGAATGGGCATATATAGATCGAAATCATAATAAAATTAGGTATATGTTAGCTGAAAGGGATAATAATCGATATATCCTAAATTTCTTCTGATTATTCGCATACATTCTTTCAATTTCGCCTTGTTATGGCGTGAGAGAAATACTAATGCACAATTTATGCTATTTCCCAATAGGTTTGAATGACAACGTCACAGAAAAGGAAATGTTGCCATAGAGATACGAATACGATCCTAACTTCATTTATTGCTAACATCTATAACTTATTTGAAATGTCAGAAATGCAATCGAGTGTAATGGGTCAAACCTAACAAATGTACAATTTTATATCGGATCGATTAATTTATTCTTAACTGACAACGAATTCAAATGTATGAAGATATGGGATACGTCAAATTCATATAAATAGAGCATTCGTCGATAGATTGGCACAGTCTTAACACCGATGAAAGACAAAAAAAAATTGATGCTGAGGAACTGATGCGTCGTGGTTGATGAGTCAACACGGTTTAGTCTACGGATCAATATCAGAAGTTCATGATCGGTCGAAGGAAGTGTCGAGACTGACTGTATTAGGAAGTTAGGATGCGAACGTTGTTGGAGGAAGATGTCATTCGATCGTGACGCTGACTTTGTCAATAGGAAGACCCCTCTTGGTCAGGATGCTGACTCCGCCGATGGGAAGACCTCTCTTGGTCGGAAAGCTGATACCGTCTTCCGGGAGAGGGTCTCTTGGTCGAGGAACGCCGACATCGTCTTCCGGGGGTGGTTGAGCTCCTGCATAAAAAGCCCTCGTCGGGGGTTTTCCGACTATGATCCCTCGTAGCTTAAATTAGTAGTTGTTTGTTTCTTTATCTTTTTTTTCCCTCCTCCGACCAGATGTCAGTCATGAGCTTTTATATTACTACGCGAGGATAAGTCGTACACGGGTTTAACGTGACAATCGATCCCCAAGCAATGAGTTAGTACCTTTATGTGGCCGTCGCTTGAGACGCACGAAACGACACCAGACTACGTCATCCCGAGTTTTTTCAGGATGGGACGTACCGCCCCCTTTCGTGCTGATGTGGCAGGGGCGCGGGTGGTGATGAGGAATGAGATGTTGGCTTATTCTTCATTGCAACAACTGAACGTGTTTTGTTTGAAAGGTGTAGTTATATAAGGAATATGTGGACATCATATAACGAACCAATTGCTACAAAGAGAAAAGGCTGATGCATGCGATTAAGGAAAGGTCGCCAAAAAAGATACATGTTGAGACGGAAAACACGAGACATGCCGAGATGCACAAGTCCAATAATAATAATAAATGGAAGAGGGCGTCGGATTATAGAAAACAGGAGACATGCTGTGTTGCACGAGTCTAATAATAATAATAATAATAATAATAATAAACAAAGGACATGACATCGTGGGATTGATTATAAGAAAGATTTGTGACATAACGAGACGTAAATTGCCGCCGTGGAATGGAACGAGGAATTCTGCCCATCACAGCGGGGCAATTCCGTGAATACGGGAAAGCTCGGGCAACGAGGAATCTCCCGTATGCATCAAGGACATCTGCCGATCAGAGTTTGAAAACACGGGAGCCAGGAAGCCCACGCGTCGGTTCTTAATGGCTAAACATCGTACACCGAGAACTGTTCACTACAGCCGTTCATCGTTACCGATTCGAAGAATGGACGTTTCTGATGAACAGAAAAGACTGGTTTCTGTTTTGGACGAATCAGCAGAACGGCTCCAGTATCTGTGTACTATAGTGTAGTTTGTCACTTTAATAGCTCATTCCCTCAGGTCTGCCACTTCTCATACTAATGTCGCTCCCCGGGTAGCGTCGCAGAGCTTCTCCGGCGAGCAGCGACTTTTCCTCGGAAGAGGTATGCTTTCCTTTCAGATCATCTTCTCCATTTCTTTTCTACGTCTTAGTTTTTCTATCTTCATGGATGCTCGATTTACCGGGCAGAAAGCTTTAGTTTTGCAAAAGATAGGGAAATCGATTGGGTTTTTTCTTAGAATGGCAGTAGGGATTATGAACATTTTGCAATTCGTGTTCTTGGTGATCGAGGAGGAAAAATCCAGTGGCATAGCGAGTACAATGTGTTATCTCGTAGAGTTCCTTAGCATGTTCTTCATTAATGCGGCCAGTAAAACTGGAGTTCTCTTCCTGTAAACTGAGATCCCGATTCTTCCTGTTCTTTTTTGTTGCTCTGCAAAAGAAACAGAGTCTAAAGAAAAAAAATCCGACCGTCTCTTTTTAAGAATGGCAGTATGTTCTTGGTGATCAAAGCGATAAAGATCAAGTTGTCCAGGGTAAAAGGTTACTGATATATCATAGGGGAATTGTTCCTTGGATGTTTCTTAATCAATGCTGTCACAAAACTTGTCTTTTTTTTCCCTTGAAGTAAGATTTTCTGATGCTTTTAGCAGCCAGAATTTCTGATAAAGAGAAAAAAAATCCAACCTTCTCTTTTCTCGGAATTGCAGACGGAATACATAAACATTTTGTATTGCATGTTCTAATAATGATCATGATCAGGGTGGAAAGAACCATTAGCTTGTGCAGCATAAATGAATGTTTCCTTAGAAGTTCTTAGCGAACGCATTCGATCAACCTGAGATTCTCTGCTTCATTCCGGTCTCTGTTTCGCATTCCAAAATTTTCGCTGGTTAACTGCTAAGGCAGTCCAAGCTTTTCCGGTGGCTCTGATTTATTTCCTTTAAACGATATTATTTTCCAACTTTCTCGATTTAACTTATGGGATTTCATCGGTTTTTAATTATTTTTACTGTCGCCGAGATCACGAGGATAATAGTAAAAGCTCTCGACCTTATCGGATTCCATCACCTTCAGCCATTTTTACGGTCTCCAGAATCAAAGCTTTTCACCTCACGGCCGTGCATGTTTGACAACCATCTGAAACAGAGTTCAGAACTCACGCTGCCGTGGGGCTGCTTGCTGTCCTCCTGGCGAACATTATTCACCAGCGCAGCGTCGTACGTTCACATGGCGATCTAACGCGGGTTTCTTTTTCTTTTACCTTTGACGATGAGAGGAACATGATGTAAAACCTCGGGCCTCGCGACATGCTCTCGTTCGGTTCCCAAGCCTTCTTGTATTCTTTTACTCTTTACTGCACTGTGACTGTTCTGTTTGGCTGATCTCTTGTCGCGCTCGATTGATGGAGGAGGCCTGCAATGTTTTCTTGTTTTGTTTGATGGCAGTGGTACGAAGGGCCACAACAAAGCGGTCTCTGTGGCTACGCATCTCAGCGCGATGGCGACGATGACTGCGACGACAGCGAGCTATCACGCCTCGTGTCGGTCGTCCACATGCCCGCCTTGGCTGCAAGCGGCGCTTGCAGGTGAGCAGCCACTGTTCCCCTTAGCTTTTTCTCGCTGCCGCTGCTCTTCTTCTCTCGAATAGAGGTTGGATAAGAACACAACAACACTCACGTACTTGAATGTTTGACAAGTTGCAGGCGAATTATTGAGACGCATTAAGATGCGAAAACATCTCTTCTTTTCATCTCTCTCCTCTTTTAAGCTTCAAATAGCTGTAATGTCGCTGTCTGTGTAGTGTTTCTTCTAGGGGGAGTAAAGTGGTCGAATTGTCTACGGTTTCTTTGGATTGCTGCAGTCATCTTCTTTTAGTTTGAATTCGAAATTTAAATTAAACGTATAGGAAAAGTCAAATTTCATCGGGACATTGTTGTCAAAAAGTAGTGCAATTTAAAGGGGAAGCAAGGTAGCCTGATAGGTTATATAGGTATATAAATCTCCACTGTCCTCTTGTCAATACTTTCTACTACATGTTGGACACTCATTATTGCGACCCATCGCAGTGTTTGTTACCCCTAACATCTGCCTTCTTTTCAACAAAAGTATATAAAGTTAAATTGCAATCCATGACAAGTGTAGCATCCATTATGACCATCTTAGATTAAAAGTAACATTTTATATTTTTGATGCAGCATGACTTGTAGCTTATTTTTCTATTTCATTCTTCTTTGAAAACACACCATACTCTGTTTAGTTCCAAATCAAAACACGTGTTGTCCATGGCACATACTGCAAGCATTGTGCAAAGATTTACGAGGAGATGTTCATTTTTCCTTCATAACGTCTTATTTCGACGCCCACAAGAAAAATGTCTCTTTTTGACCTTATAAATCACAAAATTTTTTGTTGGACCGAGTGCAGATATAGAGCAAAGGGTGCAATCACTTGCGGTGAATATACCGGATGACCCGGAATCGGACTCGTTTGCTGAGCGGGCGGAGAACTACTACCAGAAGCGGCCTCAACTCATCGCCCTCCTTCACGACCTCCACCACCGCTACCTCTACCTGGCCGACCGCTACGCCCAGTCTCTACTCT